CGTCTCGAGCCTACCCTGCCCGCCCTTTGATCTTGCGTATGGGGCAAGCATCTTGGCACGTTGGCAAGTGCGGCAAAAGGGATTCTTCGGATAGTGTGCAAACAAGTGCTCTTTGGTACTCGCTTCGGCAACCAGATCTTGCTCTTTGCGGGATCTCACAAACCGCTCAACTTCGTCGTCAGGATCATCACCTTCGTCGATGCCTTCGTCATGAACCGGTGCAGGGGCTGGCTTGGATGCTGTAACTGCACCCAACGATGGCTCAGCTTCACAACTAGAATCCATGTATGGCACATGACCGTCAACCTTGAGCTGGATCAGAGCACCATCAGGGCGAACCATGGTTGGCGCCTTCCCGGATTCCCAATGGAAGGAATATCCTTGATCCAGACACTTCACACCCAGCGACAGCACTGCGGGAGAACTCTCGAGGATGTAAGGCTGAGCAGGCTCACACAATGCATCGACATTGATGTCGGCGATTTCGGAAGCAGTGATGTTTCCGTTTGCAGTCACAAGGCGAATAGGCTGAGGGGCCTGTTTCCGAATTGCCTTGGACGCATTCCTCAGCGCAGCTTTGCTGATGAGGTCCTGCTCACTACCGGAATCAATAAGCCACACATCCTTTCCCTTTGGTGCAGGGGTGGCTGCCACTGGCGCTTCGACATCCTTGCGAACATCGTGAGGCGGCATGGCAATTCTCAGGCACTCATCACACGATAGGCTTGAGATGGAATCGGATTCCACATCGCACATGAAACCACAAGCGGGCTGGGCTCCATTCTCCATGGCTTTGATCACGGCATTCAACTGGTTCGCGGCCTTGCGCGCTGCCTTGTTAGTCCCTTTGGTCGGCCTGGGGCAGTCCTTAGCACTTGGAAACATCCTGTTGCACTGCCGTTCCTCATACTCAAGCTTGAAACCATCGCCTTCGGCGGGGATCTCATGCACATGAGCATTGGTGTCGAATGACACTCCGATTGGATCAATCGGCTTTGCGAACATGGCGTACCTGGTGCAGACTGCAGCGGCTTTGGCCTTGGGCTTAGGCTTAGGCGAATTTGCACGCTTCTTAGCCGCAGGATTTGCATTGGCCTCGTTGCTCGATGCCGCGGCGGCAGATTTGCCGCCCGTGGAGGCATGGCTAAACTTGCATTTGTCACCTCTAGTGCACTTCCCTTGGGCAAAGAAAGAACACGGTGCTTTCTCTCCTTTATTGCCTTTGGGGGAACTCGGCCTGCCACGGGTCGCGGAGCGTCCTCGCGGCTCCTTGCGGTGCGCGTAAGGGCAGTTTGCCCCCCTCGTGCACGAGCCCTTCTGGAAGTCAAAGCAGTACTTTTCCTTGGTGTCCTTCGGCTTGGGTGCGCTCTTTTTCTTGGGGTCCCTCCTTTCAGGGGCGGCAGCACCGGCCTTGGGCGTCGGGGCTTTACTGGCATTGACTTTGGACACGCGCTCTCGGTTCTCGCGAAGCCTGTCCCTCTCGATTAGATCCCTCATGCAACGCATTAGGAAATCGTACGATTTGTTGGGATCATCATCACGGCAACGATCATATGTGTCAATGTCGTACCGCAACAGATGGCAGCTTCTCACTTGGCGAAGCAAGATGTCTTTCAACGCCTTTTCTTCCGGCGGCCTTTTCATGCCGGCGATCACGGAATCCCAAGCGTTTAGGAAACGTTTGAGATCAATGATTCCTTCGCCGTTTCCCTCCTTGGCACATTCTTCCTTCGCTGTCAGGATTCGCTGAGCCAGATCGCCTTTCGCTGAACGCGTGAGCGCTGCGAGAATCTTCGTGTCTAAGGTCACGAATTTTCCCGGTTCGCCGAGCTCCTCCAACAGCTTCTTCTTGTCCTCGCGATCGGACCAGACTTCCATGATCCAAGGCCAAGCCTCGTCTGGACGGTCAGATGCAGCGCGGACATCCTCACGAACCGATGTCTTCCATTCACGGTACGTTTCAGGAGTTGGCATCTCCTTGAATCGCAACGTCTCGCTTTCGCGGGTTCTGGGCTTTTCATCGTTCGTGTGGCCTTTCACTAACTTCATCAACATTTTGGCGAATGCTTCTTGACCAAGGTTAGGCCCGAGGCCATCACCTTCATCTTCATCACCATCGCCATCGCCATCATCATCAGGTGGCGGACCGCCAGGAGGCTTACCACCCTGCTTGCGGTCACTTGGCATTGGCCCCTGAGAGAATTGCAGGGGCGGGACCGGTGCACTTGTTTTCACCGGGGATCGGCTGCTACCTGATGGCTTTTCAGCTGGTCCTTGCGGATCGCGAGCATCTGCGGGCAGTGCTTCGCATTCGGCAGTTGGAATCACGCTAGGGGTATATTCAACCCCGTAACCGTCATAGGTAACAAGCGACCTCAACTTTTCCTTTGCATATTGAAATGGATGGGACAACGGGTCCAACATTGACCTTTGGGACCGAGCTGACTTCATGTCGTCGGTCATCAACTCTGGTGAATCCTCTCGGGTATCACCTACCCCTTTGGGCTTCGATCCATCCTCGCGGAGGTCGTGATGCTTCTGATACCTCTTCAGCTCATCGAGCTCGTCCTGCAGAAGCCCGTTTTGGTAGGCCATCATATCGATCATCCTGGCGTTTTTCGCCTCGACACAGGCTGTGTCGTCGGCGTGCTTTGCGGCTTGCTCATGAAGGAGCTGCTGGGCTTCCGCCAGGGTGGATTCGATGGCTTGCCTAAACTCAGTTGTTTTGTGTCCCATTTCCGCTTCATGCAATGCTTCGGCATTTTCCTCACACACTTGGCTTATCCTAGCTTCAGCGAAGTTCACTTCTTGGATGAACTCATCGCTCACTCGCTGTTCGTATTCACGAATTCTATGCGACTGGGCTTGCACACACTCAGCGTAGTGTGCATGCAGCTGATTTTGTGCGACACGGAGCTCCTCACGGTTTTCCGCTTGCAAATGCGTGACAGCTGCTTGATGCAGGGCTTCGGCTTCAGACCTAATGGCTGCATCATTCCCAAAAGCAAAGATTGCGGTATTGTACAGTTGAAGGGAATTCATCAGGGTGCGGTTGTACTGCGCATTAGCGCTTGATGCGAACATTCGCACACCGCCGCCGGTGGCGTTGTCGGAGCTAGCTCCGGCAGCATCCACAGGCATGTTGGATCCATCAACTGGCACAAGGGAACCGTCCATTGCTTAGAGCTAGGGGCCTACGGCTGATAACCTATAGATTCAAGGGTTACCGGTTTGGGGCCCAAAAGGAAACAACAAACCGTCCAAGTGCGCTGCTCGCACATTTTCACGCTTGAACAGCCACACTGCGGATGCAATGGATGTAAAACCCCATATTGACCGATCAAATTCTTCAGATAGCAAGCATGAATTGCCGACATGTTTTGCCGTGACAACTGAAAATGGTGAACCACATGCCCAACCCAGACTCGGAGGAGCTCCGCGAATGCGCCCTCTCCTCAACAAAGCCCGGGTAGCCAAGTATAATCTCCAACATCGTGCTCTTCTGTGAGTGATTCTCCGCCTTTGCAAATCAAAGACGAGGCCCAGGGTTTCGAACTCATCCAAAGCATTCTCGCCAGTAACAACAAAGGGGATTCCCAATTGTTTGAATCTTCGAACAATGCCTTGCATTCGCTGATCCACGCTGGAAGCCGAACCACCAATGACCTGCAAGTTGTCCACATACACCCCTACAGCCGGCACGTCAGGCCGCACTTCGGGCAGGATGGCTTTGTCAAGCACGATGTCATCGATGCGCCCTCCGCCTGCCAAGGACGCTTGGTGCATGACAATGGACTGGGCAAGGTGAAGAGCCCAGCTCCACCCCATACAGACGCCCCTGAAGCAAGGGATCAGAACCTCCCCTGGCGCTACCGGCGTCCAATTGCCGACAACGTCGTCAAAGATGGTGCGGGGACATGCCCAGTTGTTCCAAGCGTTCCGTTGGAAAAGCATCAGATGTGGCAAACCAACTTGCTAACTCTTCAATGCTGAAGTTGTAAAAGCAATCGCCAACATCACCTTCATTGCCCTTGCAACCTGTCCGTGGAGCTGCTGGCCCGAGATCGGGGTCGTGAAGGCCAAAGACTTCGCCAAAGCCTTGCTCTTGCAGATTGTACTCCGACAAGTCCAAGCCGCCAAACGCAGCCGGCGTGGACAATCTGGTCGAGGGCGGCCTTTTGTGGCACTTGTTGGCTTGCCTGGCATCACAAATCAGCCGCTGCATTCCGTCTTTCTTGCGGACGACAAAGAAACCTATCAGGGCCTTGCGTCTCCTCCTAAACGTGAGCAAATTGGATTTCCATAGCCGCTGATACAGGTCCTCGCGCCTAGCAAGGGAGGACTTCAGACGGGGGTCCCAATGCGGCTCCACACCCAAGCCACTGGGGTAGAGCGCAGAAATCTCCTCTTCGGAACGCTCAATGAACTGCTTGTAATGTCTCAATTGGTTCTCAACTTCTGGAGAGCACAAATCGCGGGCTTCCGTCGGAGTCAAAGCGCGTGTGAAGATCTTGATCTTATCAGGGTCGAATTCAGCCAGGTGATTGGCCTCCCCGTAGAGGTAGGAAGCGCCAGCCAAATCCCGAAGGGCATCTTCTTCACGAAGCCCTTCAGGCGGTTCGCCCACATCAGACAGCCTGGCCACGAGATCATTCAAGATACCAGACTGCACCGAAGTAGGTTCCCAGCCAGCTTGTGCGAGAGATGTGTTGCACGCCTTCTCGGCGTTCATGCGAGCACCAGCCAGGGCGTTGGCCGATCTGATGGCCTCGTTTACCAGGCGAAGGTGCGAATTAGGAAGGCCCGACATGTCAAACGTCAGGCCCCGATAAATTGGGTTGTCTGTGCGTAAAACTGGCAGCGGAAAAGGGTCTCCGTGCTTACGGTCTCGGGAAATTCCAGAAATCGCAGGCCCAGCTTCCCCGCCACTGCCCGAGCCAAAACTTTGGGGGCACCTCGCAGCACTGGCCGGCTCGTTGACCAGCACTGCCCCCCTTTTCTCACGCCCCATCTGCGGCGGCCGAAGCTGATCCGCGGCCGCCGCCCTTGGGCCCTCCTTTGCCTTTGCCCTTTGGCTTCTTCTCGGCGCCCTTGCCATCGGGCTTGTCCGCATCCCTGCTGCTTGTCGCAGCAGACTGCTGCCATTGCCTTTTCTCTTCGCGAAACTGCCGCTCACTCTTCCAGATCTGAGCACGCTCCTTGAGCTTGTTAGTGAGGTGCTCATTGAACTTCCTGGTCTGCGCTCTGCCCTCGTTGCTGACAGGGCCGCCCAAGATGATGCCGAGTCCGGAAAGTCTGGGCTCCTGTAGTTGCGCTCCGTAGCAACTTCCAGCTGGACCAGCCAACGCACTAGCTGCTCGCCGGCTGCAAGGCTGGGGGTGTTCAGCTGGTCGTGTCCAATCATCAGACGAAGCACCTCACAGATCAGGCGGTGGGAATGGCACACAGCTGTGCCGTCTGAGATACCCGAAAGCCTCTGCCAATCGACATGGTACCGAGCTAGGTTGCCTGGCCCTTCAGAGACTGCAAGCAAGAATTCGCGGGCAGCCCTCACTTCAGTGGCCGGGAAATCTTCCAGCTCTTCTTCGGTCATGAGTTGGACAGCGTCGCTGAGGTCAAGACGACGCCGGCCGGCCCGATCAAGGTGCAATCCTAGAAGCCGGGCATCGGAGCCCGCATCCGCCTTGTTCTTCGCAAGTCGGAAGCTTCACCAGTGCTCATGCGCTGGACAAAAACCTCTTCCCCGTTGAGGGTCACCACACCTTTGGTCTCAAAGGCCATGCCCGTGTTGGGGTCATTCATGAGGTCACCCGCCACTTGTTCTCCATAGTCTGAACGCGCTGGGTCAGCGACAATCCACACCTGAGTCATGACCTCGCCCGGCTCGTCCTCACCAAGCACTGAAGCCTGCACCGCCGCAAGTCTCTTCTTGGCTTCAATTGTGACTCTGCTGATTGGGTCAAAGGCATAGACATCACCAGCCACTGCTGCAGGGAACTCAGTGGCCCTTTCCAGAACAATGTGACGGAGAAGGGTGAGATCATGACGGATCACTTCTCCATCTGGCGTTAAGCAGAACCAAACCCCGGGCGTGACTCGCCGCAGAAGGATTCGATGGTGCCAAGTGAAGTGTGGATCAGCTGGAAAATTCACCAGAACCTGAATGTCTGGAACATCCAGGGTCAGCACCCTGACTAGTGCCGCCATCTCACTTCTTCAGGTCCGATGGCCGCGTCGGGCCTAGCCGCTCAACTCCCAACGCGTTCAAAGGGGTAAACTGGGGGCTATCAGAGCTACTGTCACTCTCCGTCTCAGCCAGCGCCGGGCTCAGCGCTGGCGTCTGCCGCTTCAAGTTGCAGACAGACCAAGCGAAGAAGCCGATTTGCAAAACCAAAGCCACCTGCAAGGCAGCACCGAGAGGTGTAGAGTACCGAATCTCGGTGCGGAGCTCAGATCGGCAGGTGTTCGGCTCTGCTGCCTCCAAAGCAACTCTGGTTGCCCGCAGCTCGTGAGAGAGGGCAGCAGTGTCGAATTGGCTAAACAATGCAGGATGCCCAAATCGACCGGCAAAGAATCCAATCAACCAAATGGCAAAATGGCTGGGACGGATCCAGAACATGGGGGTTGAGTCTTGAGCGGTAAGTCAAGCCGGGCAACTGTGTCTGCAATCATTGCAAGTTATTCCGTCTGCACGCAGCAAACATCCCCCCCTCCCACCCCAACACTGATAAGGAAACCAGGAGAAGTGGGAGGTTAGGGGCTTGGAGTCCTATGAGTCTGGAAGCGCGACTACCGAAAAGTCATGGGAGAAAAGAATGGGGGATCAACCTACAGATTTGTCCAACTTTTGAGCCCATGAAAGAAACGGCTTTGAGTTCCCTTTGGACACCCCAAAACTGCCTAACGCCCAAAGCACACTTGCTCAACGGTTAAAAGCGTTAGCAAAGAAGGAAAATGTGGCTCGTGTACCCACGCCAGCAGGCGAAGGGGCCAGCTTTTGGCCCCAACATTTTTGAGGCTCCCATTATTCTTGGGCGACCTGTTGTTGACGTTCCCTAAAAAGACACTCCTCAAACATGGGTGCCTTTGATGTTGGAGAGAAAGGGATGCCCCACAAAAGAAGCAACCCCCACGTGCCAAGACCAACTCCCATTTGCACCCCCCCCCCCCCAAACCTGGTTGGGGAGAAAGAACCACCCCAAAGTGATACCAACACGACTTCGAGGGATGGATTTGCCGAGGCCCCCGCTGCATGAGTTGCAGGAAGCCGGGGAAGTCCAGGCCGTCGTCGCAGATCTCCGCGAGCTTCCGGTTCAGCAGCGACTGGCGGATGGGAACCCATGGGAGACACCGATGGAAGCCCATTTTGATGGAGGGTTCACTTGCAGCATGATGGGTACTTGCAGATGCAAGAAGGGAATGAGATGGAATGAACCCAGTCCCTTCAAGGAAACCACAAATGGTGAGGATCATTCGCTCATTCCCAAGCACCAGCAAGTTGATGAACCTGGGGTTCAATCCGCTTAAGGGAACCATTCGGAACCATTGCCTCTTGCGGGAGCCCAGATTGATTGATAGAGGGGGGTCTCGTTGAGGAAGTCCTTTCGGGGGAAGCACCCCAATCGAACCCATTCCACCAGATGGATTGATCCAGGGGCTGCTGGGAGGAAGGGAAGGCAAACGAAGTCGCCCAAAGCCTTTGGATAGAGAGGAGGTTGATAGCTTCACAAATGGGGGGGGTGGCCAAGCCGAGGTGGCCAACCACAAGTTAGATAGGCAGAAAAGCCACCAGTTCTGTCCCGGCTGCTCCAACTCTGTCCACCTCTTCACTGATGCAGTGCAAGAATGAGCATTCCTCCTCCGGAGTAATGGTCATAGCCATCCCTGAATAAAACCCACATCATGTAAATGGGCAGGGTGCCTGATGAGAGCAAAGTAGCCTGTGCGAATCTTTCCGTCAAGTTCCACAATTATTGGCAAGAGCATGGTAAAGCCGAGGAAAACGTAGAATCAGAATATATCCATGTTAGGGATGGCTCGTTGGTCAGCACCATTGAAGGGAACCTCCACTTGCCTTTCCTCCCTGCAAACAACACCCCTTGAAAGCCACCTTGACAAAGGGGCCAATCATCGAGGAAAAACGCGCGACATTTCCCCTGGGCGTTTCCACCTAAAGCTTGGGGATCTTGTGGGGATCTTCGCTTGGGGATTCTCTTGGGAGGGAAACCTGTCCTCCAAAAAACCCAGCCCAACGCCTTGTTGGTGCCCACGTCGAGTCGCAGGCCCATAGGCTGCATGAGGCGCAGCACCGAGGAGACTGCGAGAGAGGGGTGAACCAGTTGGACCCCAAATTGGTGGAAAGCCCCAAGCTTGCACAAGCAAACCCTGAGGTGGCAGGGTAATGCGCAACGGCAAGCAAACCCCGCCAAATGCTGTGTCCACAATCTTGAAACACACCCTCTAGCAATGAACAAAGTGTCCATCAAAAAAACAGTTACAAAGTACCGTGGTGAACAAAGCAAGAATCTTTCAAAGACACCCGTGGCCGCTGTGTTCCCCGTACGGCTCCGCGCGCCTGGCACTTTGTGGACCTTCGTGAAGTTGCCCAGCCACGCACCGAAGGACTGGGGGCTCCTCTCCTGACGACCCGTTTCCCCGGCCCGGTGCGACGATCCGACACGGCACTTGCGAACGTCCGAAGTTCAAAGCAGCACAGCAACGGGAAACTCGCTGGAGTTTCACGTCAAAGTTTGCCTTTCCCAACTTTTATCGCAGCTTATCCAACAACAGAGCCTTATGGGGTGAGAATGTGAGACACACCCATTGCTCAAGGGAACGGGCTACTCCTCCACCTCCTCCTCCGGCTTGGCCTCCTCCAGCTCGATGGCCTGTCCTGGCGTGGGCTCCAAAAGCACCGAAGCTGGCTCCGAAAAGATTGGCCGGCCACGGGGCCAGGGTCCTAAGAACCGCTCGGACTCCAACCCCCCGTTGAAACGGGGACGGCCGCCCGCCGCCTTTGAACCGCGTTCGATTCGAACAAGCCTTCGAGTCCTGGGGGTCCGGTTCACCCAACAGCTCGGCTTGCGCGGGAGCGAGACAGACGGGGCACTTGCTAAGAGCTGGCAGTTGGCTCAGACTCCGTCCACTTGGCAAGGACAAAGGGATGGCCAAAGGAGACCAGGGGTGCTGAGCGAGATCGTCTCGCGCCCATGGAAGCTCAACCTTCGTCTCGAATAACCCTCCCATACGGTAGCGATGTGCTCCAAATCCAAGATGGCAGGGGAAGCATTTGGTTTCCGAAGCCTTCACTGCCGGTGACCCCCCAAAAAATGCGAAACATCTTGGGTTCACGAGTCCGTGTCACTTCGACACACCGCACCTCCATCGTCCATGGACCGCCTCAGCACGGAAGGAAAGCATGCTCTGAGGCTACAATACCATATGGGCGGCGCAAGGAGAAGAGGGCCGCCCCACTTCAATGACACCAAACAGTCCTAATCACGGAAAGCGGTCACCTGAACGGACCCGGAGCACATGGGCTCCTTTCTCTGGAAAGCAATCCAAGTGATCCATTTGCAAAACAGATCCGTGCGATCGCGCTTCACCCTGCGAAGCCTCGCCGCCCCGGCCCAGCGCCCCTTTTCTCGGCAGTCGCAATGCCCCCGGAGCCCAGCTTTGGGAGACTCGTCGGGGGACGTCGATCGCAAAGGGACAGCGGCCAGTCGAACGGCAAAACGACAGCTTGACACCTCAGCCACCGGCCTTCGGCCTCCCTTCGCGTCACTAAGGCCTGTGGCCCGCTCACAGCTAAGCTCAGGCTGACCTCAGCCCAGAGGATGGGGCAAAACGAGCCTTTTGTCGAGCCTTCCGAGAAAAAGGAAGCAAATCCATCTTTGACGAGTTTCTGTGCCATTTGAGGACAGGGACATCACTTGCTTGTCCAGTGCCTTTCAAGGCAAATCCCGTCACTAGAAAAAGCTGGTTCTACAAAAGGGTCCAATTCCCAGTTGGCAACACACAGAAAATCCATCCAACTCAAGCACTTTCTCAGTTTGGAGACTAAAACCAAGTTTTACGCGAGCGTCAAAATACCCCAAAAAGGTGTCCCTTTTTGAAACCAACTCCAAATAGGGTACCCATGGTACCCTCCAAAAAAGGAAAACCTATGAAAAGACTCCTGGTGGCTCCTCAGCTTCCTCCTTAGCAAATTTGGCTCCCTCGCAACCACAAGCTGGCTAAAACCCCAACTCGAAAGCCCGACTGAAAGTAGATGGTAGTATTCCATCATTGTGTCACAGTCCAGCACCAGGAGAAGAGTGTCTCTTGAATATAGCACCCCAAATGGTTGGCTTCCTCTTGGCTTCCCTTCAAAACCACCCACAACATGGGACCCTCAAAAACAAACTACAGACCCAGAAGAAGAAAAAAAAGGAAGAAAAAAAACGCCCAAAGCTGGGTCAAAAGAGCTAGAGTCCCAGAAGACCTCTGCGCATCAAAGCGGCTCTTTCACCTTGTCGGCCTTCTCCTTCACCAGTGGTGTCGCCTCTGCCGGCCGCGTCTGCTCCTCGGGCGTTTCTTTGGAGCACGCAGAATCCGCCCGGGCGCAAAGCTTGAAGTGGACCACCGGATTTCCCGCTTTCATGAGCTGCTATGTGGGGCGTTGTGGCTTTACGGATCAACATATTTCGAGAGAGAGGGAGAGATCCCCTCTCGGTTGTTGGATCGGGTTTTGGCGGGTTTAGGGCTGCGGAAAGGTCTGGATACATAGAGCGGTTACGAGGGTTCGGCTTGGGTTGGCATGGGGTCGTTATTGCAAAGGGTTCTGGTTCGTTTTGGTGAGGTTCCGGAGTATGGAGCGGTTCCGGAAGCAAGGTTTCAAATGGTTGCTGTTGGGGATGCCACCTGGGCATATTCTCTTCTGCTTGTTCCCTAGTGTGATGTGCCACGTGTGTGTGTGTGACAGACATGCAGCGAACCTGAGAAAAGTCCGGAGCCCTCGACTCGCGAACAGGCGCTCCTGCAGCTTCATGTGGCTCCAGAGGCCCATGCCCATCAAGGTCACCACGAAGCCAACGAACTGCTGGTGGCTGATGGGGTCCCCAAACACTGCCGCGCTGCAGACCACGATGGTCACGTCCTCTCGTGACACGTGGCTGAGACCCGAGAGGTTATCAAAAGCCGAACCAAAAGAGGAAGCACGTGCATGAACATAAAGAAAAGCAACACAAGTGAATCCAGGGAAGCGCCAGCAAAGGGAGAAGATTTGCTGGTCTATTGGGGGCCAACATTAAAAGTTAGGGAATACTTGTGTGAATTGGGCGATAAGGGTACTACCAAAACATGTGGCTTGCCTTTCGCCCATGCGATCGGTCCCGGTGAGTTTCCCAAACCTTGAAGGTAGAGGTAGCGCAGAAACGAGGCCCTCCCAGAAGGGGGCAGGGGCGTCGTGTCCGAAAACAAAAAATACATGGCAGTCTTGAAAGGACACTGGAAGCTAGGGGGTCATGGGAAGCTGTGCCTTTGACAAACTCCAATGACCTGTAAAGTAAAAGAAACCAAACGCATGTTGCCTTAGTCTAATACTGACCACCCGGAGGTGTGCACCCTTTTGGGGGAGACCCAGATCAGCTTTAGACGGAAACACCGATGAAACACTGCCAGGGAAGCTTTCCCAGCACCCAGTCTTCCTCACAAAAGGCCCAGCCCCCACGTCCATCGATCGGATGGGCGTGCGGGGCACAGCTTAAGGGGCCATACCACTCTCAGACGCCAACCACGCGGCGACGTGGCGCGTGCCACTGCCTTGAGGAGGCCAATGAGCACAAAGGCCAGGGCGGAAAGTTTCTTCAAGGTTAGGGCGATGAGCACGTTCAGCACCTGATGGATTCTCGCCCCAAGAAGCCTTTGTCCGAAGGAAAACCACTTGAACCACACCATCGAACTGATACTTAGACTGCTGTTCGAAAAGCAAACAGCAAATGCCAAAAGAAAATTGCACCTTGGGGCGTCTGAAAGAACGAATTGTGTTCAATGGCTTCAGGTGCATGACGAGTCCATCCCAAGACGGCCACGTCGGAAACACGCCTCTGAACAGCCCCCCTCGACCTACAACACGCTTCAGGCTTCCAGGGCGCAAAGGCGAGGCCAGCGTTCGCCAGCAGCACGGGCCACATGGCGACGAAGTCCTGGGCCGAGCCGCGTGGCACGAGTTGACCCCGCTGGTATCGCGTCTGCTCCAAAGCGACTAATGTAGGGCATTTGCCCCGGTGTCCGGTAAGGGATTCCGTGGTAGTGGAAGGCTTTGTTTCCAACTGGCATGGCAGAAGTTGCGCGGTGAGCAAACCAATCGGCCCGGCCGACTCCCTGGTTGAAGAACTAAACAAGTTGCAGGTTGCTATGCTACCACATTGTTGAAAGATCCTTCCCCGTCGGGCGGCACGCTGTCACATTGACCTTTCAGCGTTCAGAGGTCCTGTGCTCTGTAGGCACGGTTCCACACGAGTTAACCGAAGCTTCAACTCCCAAAGCACCTGGACATGAGTTAGGTTAGGCTTTGGGGCCACGTTGGAAAATCGACAGGTCGCTTTGAGAACCGTCAAATGATGACGTTCCACGACCTCTCCCCACATATTGGCCTCTGGGCGGCCTCCTGGGCGCATGGCAACGCTTCGCGGGGGTGGGACCGTCCCTGCGCCTCCCCTCCGACTGTCCTTTGTGACGTCCGGCGACCACTCCATCAAGGCGCCTGCTGGCACAAGCTGGAGACCCAACCAACTCCGCTTGCGCTGGCGAGCGCCGGTTCGTTGTGAACCCCAAGCCCTATGACTTCCACTGACCCCAAATCAATTCTCAGAGCAAAACTGGTAGCAGGTATCACGTGGGGGGACACCCTTTTTGGGTCATGTTTGTTTTTCAGTACGTCCCATGCTTCTTTCGGTAATCTCGCCGGGTACCCGCACCTATTAGCAGCGGCAGCAGAGAGAAGGGCGCTTGGAAGGCTACGAAGGTAAGCCTCGGTCTGGCGGCTTGGGTGTCTGCTCTTGCGCACTCAAATGTCCCACAGCATTGCTTGGTGACGGCGCCTTGTTTCCCCAAGCCGTTTCAAGTGGACTCCCTTTTCGGCCCCTTCAAAAAGCCAACGTCAAACTGACATGTGATCCTGTCCACGGGGGCTGTGTCCATGGGACTGCTGTCCACGGATGCCGTGTTAGGAAACCAGAAAGAAGCATTCGGACTTTTGGACGACCAAACATTTGGAGGGGTGCAACTGCATCTGACAGGTCGCCGGATGGCAAACTAATAGGAAGAATGGGCCCGATTGGCCACCCTCAAGATTCTGCATCAAAAGAAAAGATATGACATCAGCCACAATGACCCAGGACATAGGCTTGACGGCCAATTGTTGTGCCGAGAAAGCATGGAGAGAAGCAAAGCCCCCCCCTCCACCAGGAAAAAAATCGAAACACCGATTGTATTTTTTCCTGGGGTGTCTCCGCAGAACGGAAAGACAGCAAGTCAACATAAGTGGTGTGAGTGAGGCAAGCTGTTGAATTGGAAGGACGGGGGCTTACCGTCAGTCTTTAGCTGGCCTTGCAAATGTTGAAGCCGGGATTCATAGACCCGTCGTATTCAAAGAGAGGTTTCCTCTCAAAGTGACGGGTTCCCTCTAAAATTGGGGGGGCACCCCTAATCAAACTCCTCCTGGGTTCCCGTTTGGCACTGCCAAGCGGCACATCCAGCTTTAGACCTGCTCCTGTCATCACAATCTCCCCAATCAGATTCTTGGAGCACTCCGCAAACTGCGGGCGGGCTTGAGCGAGCGGCATCCAATCTCACTGACACACTGCTAGCCCGAGCGACAATGAACCAAGCAAAGCGGACGCAATTGCGGCGCCGGTTGCAGCACGTTCTTTCACATGGCATGTAGGAAAAGCATGGAAGCACATCACAAGGGGACTGTCTGGAAGTCGAGAAGGGAGGGCAAAATTTGTAGATTCGCACAAACCCCTCCTCACCAAAACCTCACCAACAACGTCGTGAATGCGGCTGAATTGCTGGCATGTAGGAAAGTTGGAAAAGCCAATTTCAAACATGTAGGATACTCGGCCGAAAAATATTCCGCAAACACTGCCCCCGGTCCCGGAACTCGGCTGGTCTTCTGCACGGTGGCACATCTCAGTTGGTTCTCACTTGTGCGTCATTTGGAAGGCCTTTCCAATGCATTACAGAACTTCCACAACCCTAGTGGTAAGAGGGGGCCAACTCACACACACACACAGGTACAAAAAACGTATAAATACATTGATCAATCAATATAGATAAATCGATAGATATAGCTAGAGGTGTAGATGTAGATATAATGTTGTGTGTTTTCTTCACCCACGCGCACGCACGCACGCACGCACGCACGCACGCACGCACGCACGCACGCACGCACCCACCCACACACACACATACATACATACATACATACATACACATACACACACACAAACACACAAACACACAAACACACAAACACACAAACGCACAAACACACAAACACACACACAAACACACACACAAACACACACACACACACACACTTAAACTCCTGATGGAGGGTCTAATCTTTCGAGTACAACTGATGAGTCTCGAGTACAACTGATGAGTCTCGAGTACAACTGATGAGTCTCGAGTCGGATAAGTTTCGGCTGGCAGGTCACTTGGCTTCACTCTAGAAACGAAAACGTTACCCGAAAGAACAAAAAGCACAAACAGCGCCGCAACCAAGGGGGCCAAATAGACTTTTCAGAATCACCGAAGCAGCTCTGGTGCACATCGGGCTTGATGCAGGTACGTCCAGCTGGCCAAGCTGGATATCCCACTTCACTGGTAGCTTCGTTGGACACAGTCCCAGTGAAGTGCTGTGTCCCCCTGCTAACAAATTTGGTGGCAGGGTATTCTGCCACTCTGCACACACACACACACACACCCACACGCACACGCGCACGCGCACGCCTGCGAGAACAGCTGAAAGAGGAGGCCACTCATCACGAACTTGATCCTCAGTCGCCAACGGCGCTTGACATCTTCGCGGCCAGACTCATAGCTCCCACATGTGGAAACATCCGCTACGCTCATTGAAAGTACATGACTCTTTGGGTTCTGCTTCTCAAGCTGCTGAATTGTTGCCGAGCAAAAGCCTCCTCTGCCCCCGCCCACACAGGTGGAAAGAACCCTTGTGAGCAAGACGCCCTTCTGCTCAGACCGAACGAAACAGGAAACACGTTGGTCACAATGCGATCAATCATTATAAACCAGAGAGGACCGACACTTCCTTAAAGCTCCGCACGCAAAAAACATAGCTTGCCTGACGACGATTCTGTGGCAAAACTTGACTCCCTCGCGGGTGGCAAATTACTCTCTCCAGGGTAACTCAGCTTCCCTTTGGGTTGGTGATTTGGATTGGTGGTTTGGTGGTTAAGGGGTGGTTTCCCATCCATTTACCCTCTAGAACCTGGGGTCTTCCAATCCCCAAACCACCAGTCCAAGCCACCAATCAGGTGCCTGAAACCAGCAGCTTGAACAAAAACCGATCCGCACCTTTTCGCCATGTTTTCCGACCAGATCTTCCCAGAAGACAAGCCGCTCTCCGGTGGCGCAGATGGAGCAGCCCGTTACCACCACGCACAGAACCGCGGCCTGCGGTGACACCCTAACATTACCAGTGCGCTTGAAACGAAACTTGCAACCACTCACCTTCCAGCTTGTCGCTCATTTCTTGGTGGGGGCAGGGCTTCCCGCCGCCTCGTCTTCAAAAACCCGCGCCGTACGAGTTTATCGCCTTGCGGATTGCTCCGCCAATTTAAAATAGTCACAAGGAATTTCATAATAAGATGGCCCAAAAAACGCTCAAATTGTGCCCCGAAGAGAAACATTGGGAACTCTGTCCCAGATATACACGGCTCCTTGCACGGACCTCCCAACCGCTAACGTTTTCCCAGCACGACATGGACCACAAGCCCAGCTGAACCGATCCCACGCCCGAGGCATCCGTCCGTGGGTGCAGAACTGGACATTTGGGGCCTGGAAAGCACAAGAACCGACCTTTTCTGCATCTCCCCCTGATGGCAAAATGAAAGCCTCCTCAGAGGCACTATCCTCTTGTGGACCTCTTAAAGAGAAATATGCTTCAGGTTGTCCGTGCATAACTTACTCGTGTCTCGAGCAATGTCCTTGGAACGTTGTCTTTTAACACAGGACCAGACAGGGAAAAGAGAAGCCAACAAAAAGCGCCTTCAATGCGTGCTGGGGCCCCCATTGCAACGACTACAACAGCCGCCTTGGAAAACAGCTCACCAGCTTCGGGGCCGACATCTATCCACCAATCTGCTAAAACACTCTCGTTGATCCATCACTTTTTCTTGGCCAGCCAAATGGCCTTTCTATTAAAACCAAAAGCCAAAAAAGAAACAGCTCCCTCTTTGATCCCATCCCATCTCTTTTACCTGCCCCCGCGACCATGCACAACTCATCCCGCGGCGCGCGCTGCGCCGCTGCGCCTTGGTCCAGCTGAAGCTCTGGAGGCCCACAGCGCATGAGCCCACGAAGACGATGGCCACGTTGCCTGCGAGTCGATGGCCATGAGTCAAATGACCCCTTCTTGGGGCGATGTGTTTCAGGGTGACCAAACCAAAGGGGGGGTGCAACTGGAGCAAAAAAAAAAAGAGGAACTTGTGGAATACGCGGTGGGGCTCCGCAAGAATCCAGAGGCCAACCCGTGCTTCCCGCGCCTTGCTTGCAGAACTGCAGGAAGGCCACGGAGGAGAAAAGGTACGCCTGGTTGGAGCAGAACCTCGGGAGACTCCCTGAACCGAATTCAGCCGAAAACATCAACCCGGCACGAAAGGAAGCTTTCAACCGGCTAGCCGACCGGTCCTCCAAAAGCAAACCCAACGGCACAGAAGGCGCTCCAACTCACTAGCTGCCACCCATTCCAGACTTGCTCCAACCCCAACCTGCTCTCCCACTTCAAACCTCCAAAATCCAACGCCCCCAAAACCAAAAACCCAACGCAACCCCAAGGCCTCCTAAACCACCCACCAGTTCGCGCCCATAGCGTCCGAAGGGCAAAGCCACCGAGAAGAGGAGGCCCAAAGGCGCGAGGTACTTGGTCAGGAGCCCCAGGTTTTCCTTGGCCTAAACGAAAACCGGGCCCAGAACCCGGTCACATGTCATACCAGGAAGCACCAGTGGGCAGAAAAGCGCTTTTACAGGAAATGGGAAAATTCCAAGATGAACGGACATGCTTGAGGGCTGCCGCTTCACGAAAAGCGAGCCGGTTTTTTTCTGCAACCATGTCTGTGCCTTGCCTCGGGGCATGATTTGTCGAAAAAGCTTTCCCCATCAGGAAGCAGTCAGCAGACGTGGCCCGCAACGCCCCGTTGCCTTGTCCATGGAAGGGTAGATGGAAGGCGCGATGGCATACCTTGGTCCATCTGGGTCCATTCAAGTGACATCCAAATTACCCCAAGAAACATGGTGAGAACTCAAGATCTTGACTTGAAGAGAGATACCAGCGACGCCCCACCAATTAAGGGCCCAGCAGGAGCAGAGAGAGCAGCGTGGTGGTTGCCATGTGCACAGCTGTGAGGTGCAGCGCGTGCGGGAATCGGTCCTCATGCATGAGGTACTTGTTGAAGGAGATGAGCCCTGCACGAGTCAAAAATGCAGTCCATTTGTCCTTGCCAACCCGAAAATGGCCTCCAGGAAACACAGATCCAAACTCCGAGCGGCACCTTGACTCCTCAGGACTGGAGAGGGAACCTCGGGGCCAACAAAAGGCGCCTTGCCTTTGGCAAAAAAGTGGGGCACAGGCGCCGTTCCAAAACGTGACGTGACATAACATGCTCCAGTGTTACCACTCAAATCCCCTCCAAAAACACAACATTGATATCAGCACATGGGCCTTCCTTCTCAGCTGAAAGGACCAAAAAGATCACCGTTTGGGCCTCGACTACACATGGCGGCCATTCTGCTTGTTGCCAAAGTTCATTTAAAACTTTTCCCAAGGCTGCCTAAGACTCGCGGAAGCGGAAACACGCAAGATGTTTTGGAGGCGCCTGCGGAGACGGCGATGTAGGTGATGCCGATGGACAGAACCTCTGCGCACTTGAGCATAATGCTGGTTGGCTCCTGGACAGTGAAACGATGCTGGAGGAATCAACCTCGTGGACATACGCTGTGCACGTACATTTTTGTATCAGCGGGCTCTTTGCCCAAAAGCTTAGGATGCCCTCAAGGCACACGCACTATTACTGAACTGGATGTTCGCTATTCCCCGGTTTCCATTGGTGGCAGGGTTGTCCCGAAATGGCTATAGCGGGTGAAGCCCAAGTGCGTATTGGTGCTCCCCAAAACCTCCCTCAATGTCAAGGGGCCTTCCGAGCAAGTCATAGGCGTTCTCTTCAAAAATGCTCCACAAGATGTCTTCCAATGTTTCGTGTTGTTGAATTTAACGACACATTGCTCCCCCAAAAGAATTGAAGGTCGCATTTGGAGTCGGCAGGCTTCCCTTAAGAGGCTTCCTTTCACCCCTATCATCTCCAGGCTGCGGGAAACCTGATGTCCCTCAGCGCTAGAGGAATCCTTCACTTTGGACGGGCATCCCCGTTTACGGCCTTAGCCATCCTTAAAGCAATTCAAGCCCAAATCGAATGGGGAATTGGCGGGTTGCGCAAAATGGATCCTGTTCAAAGATCTTTCTGCGCCTGAGGGTGGTGTAGGGTTGTCCCCCAATTAACTGGAAATTATCTGATTCAGATGTTTCAGAGGTACATGGCCAGGTGGGCCTTGACTACTTCCCAAGTAGGTCGCCCACCTCCGACCATGAATGACCTGTTAGTCACTTCAAAGGAGATTCCCTTGGTACTACCAGTGCCAGATGAGACAAAAATGAAAAATAAGCCCAGGCGGAATCCCCAAATCGACCCCTGGAACCCCCTATCCGCTCCTATCCTACCACAGACCCCCAAGCCCGCAGCAGCTGGGGAGAAACAATCTGGCGCTGGCGGAGGTGGGCCAAAAAACCAGGAACCGTGCCCGCAAAGGACTCGGGTGAGACTTGCCCATTCTCCTCAGATCGGGCACGGTTCGAATGTAGAAAAGCATGTTGGCCTTGAGGATGCCTTCTTAAAAGGGGTGCTTTTCTTCAGTTCAATCATGGGTGAGCTTTTTGTTTAATCCAAAAGCAATCTTGTCATGAATCATGCACAGCCGGCCCCTCCTCCCGCCGTCTCCCACCCGCAACCCCCTTGCCAAAAATAAACATCTAAGGTCCCACCTCCGTACCCCAAATGACATATCCCATCTAACAAGCCATGCGAAAAGGATGGCTTTTCGGGCATGTGCTGTGGATGGCCTGGCACAACCCCAGAACAACCTATTTCTTTTCACTCATGATCAGCCGCCATCTAACCCTTCTCAAAAGCCCTCTGCGATGCGTCGGCCATCCGCTTGCCCCAGGCTTCGCCTTTTCATTTTCGGGGGCGGATGCTCAGGAGTCCCTTCGGAGGATTTCGACGGACAAGTTCGACGGCAGTCCTGCATTCCAGGCATCCTGATTGGTTCGCTCAGTGATGGACGTGGAGTAGTGTCGGCGTGATTCGAGCCAGCAGCTGCACAGGTGAATCCACGAAAAGGGCTCCCGGGTGCGAGCAAACAAACAAACAAACAAAGAAACAATACAAAGCAGAAGGCCTAAGATGCAATCTATCATTGCAACTCGGGGAGCTTGTGGGCGAAAATTTGGAAGGGGGGGGTTCTGCATGGCTTCACCGCCTCGCCCAGAACCTAATACTGGAACCTCAGGACTTCATCAGAACCCAGCCCTGAAACCTTTGAAACATAACAAGAAAGCCAAAAACGATCCCTCAAAACCGACCTTGTCCAACTGGCAAGTCTGTGAAACCAAATCAAAAAATGCAGGAATCTAAAGCTTGCTTCACAACGACATATATCTCGTCACTCCAGGATATGCAAAAAAAACATGGGGGGGGCTGAAAGAAAGGGTTGCTAAATTTGAGTCTCTGGGTGATAAATCTGGACTTGGGGAGAGCATGCATGGAGAAAAAAACCATCGCCTTTTACGGGTTTAATGGAAAAAGTGTTTTCCCGCTTTCACGCGCCAGTCCACCTGCCCAAATGGAAACGTTGCAGCCTTTTTAACCTGTTGGAAAGGATGTGGGTCTTGCCGCTTGGGCCCCCCGGCCGACGGGCCGCCATAATCCGTAGCGCTGCGTTCTGCAGCTTGCCTTGGGTGAAATTGGGCGCCATTCCACGTCCACACTAGGAACCGGCTGGACGGAATCCCCACACGACTGGCTCAAGGATTGCAACGCATCAAACAAAACGATGCTGGTGAGCCTGGCTTGCAACCACAAAGACCCTCACTCAGGGGGCAAACTGTCGGGAGAAAGGATTTCAAGACGGTCGCATCATTCGCTGACTAGGTGATGCAAATATACTTAGAGAGAGAGAGAGGGAGGGAGGGAGAGGGAGAGAGAGAGCGAGAGAGAGAGAGAGAGATATATATATACATACATGTATACATGTACGATGTGTCCGTCCTCTTGCCTCCCAGGTCAAGGCTTTGCCCAAACCGAGAATCGCGGAGAAAAAGAGGCTTAACTTTCCGGCCCGGACTGGCTCCCTGGAAGCTGGACTCGCCAAGCTGCGGTTCGGCGTCTTCTTTTGCTCGCCTGGGAGAAAGGGGAGCGCTCTCGCAATTTATCCGTGCCCCCCTAAACATTGGAGCCGGCTCCAGAACGGGGTGCCACCCAGTTTGAAACCGGTGAGAACACTTGGGCGTTTGGCGCACGTACGCCTTTGCCCCGGTTCCTTGCCCCCGTGGCCGCTGATACCCTCAGGCACTTGCCTCCTGGAAGGATACAGTAAAGCCTTTTGGGGTCGCTTGGAAGAGGTGGAACATACTCCGACATTTCTTTCTTCAAAGGAAGGCCCGGTTTGAGACCCTAATTGAAAGTAGGCCAAAATTGGAAACCCGAAAGCCGCCTAGCCTCTAGTGGCCGGCTCACAGCTTTAAAAACCGGCTTTGCACAAGTCCTGGAACTACATGCCAAGCCTGGCCAAAATGGACAAAAACAAAGAGTCAAAACAAAGCGAGTCTCCAACTTCCGGTGCATTTTGCCCCGCCGCGGCAGAACGCTCCAATTTTCGTCCCAGCGGCTCTTGCTGCCCTGGAGCTCCGCGTAGAGCCGCCGGAAGAGCACCCGGAACTGGGCCACCTGGTTGCGCTGAGCGCATTGTACGTGGCATACATACCAGTACCATTACCAGTGCCATTTCCAGTGCACTACATAGATACATACAGAAAACATACCTACATTACATACACTACTTACATTACATACATTACATACACTACATAACATGCGTAACAAAACATTACATGACATTTCAGTACATTACGTTGCGGTACTTGCATACAGTACATTACTTTATTTTACTCTACATTGCATTGCACACATACATGCACACATACATGCATACATACATTGCGCACATAACAGTAGAATATATTGCCTACACACATGCAGAGTACATGCAAGTTTTACACTACATTCCAGTAACATCACATTGCAACACATACATACATATACACGTACACATACATACATACACACATACATAACATAACATAACATAACATAACATAACATAACATTACATTACATTACATTACATTACATTACATTACATACATACATACCATACATACATACATACATTACATTACATTACATTACATTGCACTACACTACACTACATTGCATTGCATTGCATTACATTACATTACATTACATTACATTACATTACACTACACTACATTACATTACATTACATTACATTACACTACATTACATTACATTGCATTACATACATTACATACATTACATACATTACATACATTACATACATTACATACATTACATACATTACATACATTACATACATTACATACATTACATACATTGCATACATTGCATACATTACATACATACATACCTACCTACCTACATGCATACATACATGCATACATTCATACATGATGGCACATTACATTACATCACATGACATCACGTTACATGGGCATTGCACTACATACATACGTACATACAAGCACACATACATACAAACATACATTTTGTACATCAAATACATACACTGCATACATGAAATATTACACTATAGTACATTGCAGTAAATCATGTTACGTCACACTAAAGAACAATATAATACGTGAAGTACATACATACATAACATAATATAACATAACAAAGCATAACATACATACATTACATACATTACATACATTACATACATTACATACATTACATACATACATACATACATACATACATACATACATACATACATACATACATACATACATACATACATACATACATACATACATACATACATACATACATACATACATACATACATACATACATACATACATACATACATACATACATACATACATACATACATACATACATACATACATACATACATACATACATACATACATACATACATACATACATACATACATACATACATACATACATACATACATACATACATACATACATACATACATACATACATACATACATACATACATACATACATACATACATACATACATACATACATACATTACATTACATTACATACATACATACATACATACATACATACATACATACATACATACATACATACATACATACATACATACATACATACATACATACATACATACATACATACATACATACATACATACATACATACATACATACATACATACATACATACATACATACATACATACATACATACATACATACATACATACATACATACATACATACATACATACATACATACATACATACATACATACATACATACATACATACATACATACATACATACATACATACATACATACATACATACATACATACATACATACATACACATTACATTACATTACATTACATACATTACATTACATTACACATTACATTACATTACATTACATTACATTACATACATACATTACATTACATTACATTACATTACATTACATTACATTACATTACATTACATTACATTACATTACATTACATTACATTACATTACATTACATTACATTACATTACATTACATTACATTACATTACATTACATTACATTACATTACATTACATTACATTACATTACATTACATTACATTACATTACATTACATTACATTACATTACATTACATTACATTACATTACATTACATTACATTACATTACATTACATTACATTACATTACATTACATTACATTACATTACATTACATTACATTACATACATTACATTACATTCATTACATACATTACATTACATTACATTACATTACATTACATTACATTACATTACATTACATTACATTACATTACATACATACATACATACATACATTACATACATTACATACATACATTCCATTCCATTTCATTCCAGTACATTACATTACATTACATTACATTACATTACATTTATACATGCATTACATTACATCATATTGCATCACATCACATCACATCACATTACATTACACTACATTACATTCCATTACATTCCATTCCATTACATTACATTACATTCCATTACATTACATTCATACATACATACATTACATACATTACATTACATTACATACATACATACATTACATACATTACATACCTTAACATTACATTCATACATGCATTGCATTACATTATATTGCATCACATCGCATCACATTACATTACACTACATTACATCCCATTACATTACATTACATTACATTACATACATACATACATACATTACATACATTACATACATACATTACAGTCCATTCCATTTCATTCCATTCCATTCCATTACATTACATTACATTCATACATGCATTACATTACATTATATTGCATCACATCACATCACATTACATTACACTACACTACATTCCATCACATTCCATTCCATTCCATTACATTACATTACATTACATTACATTACATACATACATACATTACATACATTACATACATTACATACATACATTCCATTCCATTTCATTCCAGTACATTACATTACATTACATTACATTACATTACATTCATACATGCATTACATTACATTATATTGCATCACATCACATCACATCACATTACATTACATTACACTACATTACATTACATTACATACATACATACATACATTACACACATTACATACATACGTTACATGCCAATTCATTCCATTCCATTACATTACATTGCATTACATTCATACATGCATTACATTACATTATATTGCATCACATCACATCACATCACATTACATTACACTACACCACATTCCATCACATTCCATTACATTACATTACACTACATACATACATGCAAACATTACATACATTACATACATACATTACATTACATTACATTACATTCCATTCCATTCCATTACATTACATTACATTACATTACATTCATACATGCATTACATTACATTTCATTGCATCACATCACATCGCATCACATTACATTACACTACATTCCATTACATTACATTACATTACATTACAATACATACATACATTACATACATTACATACATACATTACATTACATTCCACTCCATTCCATTCCATTACAATACATTACATACATTACATACATACATTACATTACATTCCACTCCATTCCATTCCATTACAATACATTACATTACATTCATACATGCATTACATTACATTATATTGCATCACATCACATCACATCACATTACATTACACTACACTACATTCCATCACATTCCATTACATTACATTACATTACATACATACATACATACATTACATGTCCATTCCATGGGTGATAGCGTCCATGGCATTCTCCTTTGGCCCCGAAACGCATTTGAAATGCGGCTTCCCGGAGCCAGGCCTCGCCCTTGCTGAATTTCAGCGTCGAGAGGACGTCGTTCTCCTGGAAGGCCGGCCGGCGGCACGAAGCGCCGGGGGAAGGGGCGAAGGGCAAAAGGCCATGGCCTCTTTGCTCACCGAATTCATCGGTGGCAGTTCTGTTTTCAGGCTGATCCATACACCGATTTTATAAGCAAAGGCCAAAGAACGCTTGAAGTGGGGAAATTTAGGGAACCAGACTGGTCCTTTGCGGGCCCATAAACCGGGAGGCGCGGTGCGTACAAAGGCGTCAGGCCCAAATTCTCCAGCCATGTGGTGTGCTGTGGAACTGGACGACCAGCTGGAGGTGGACATCTTAGGCTCGCAAAGGAATGTGTGGGTGCAAGGGAAAGGCAAAGGAAACAAGCTTCCCCCCTTTTGGGAAGCACCGCGGCTTAAAGGGAAGTATCCGGAACCTTGGAAAAGCTACAGGTCTCATGCAACCTCACCGGCAAGGCTTGGCCAAGGAACTGCCTTCGAGAACATTGACTGTAACAGCGTTAAGGAAAAAAAGCAAGCCCTCTTAGGAGGGGTCTGGGGGAAAGCACCCAAGTCAGTGTCCGACACTGCTCCTTAATGGTCACGTGCCGGAGGTGCCTTGGCCGGCACAAAAAGGGGGGCGCTCGAAAACCGGCTTTCGGGACTGGGCCGTTTTGTGTTTTTTTCGGCAAAGCCGAAAAAATCGGAAACCGACCAGCCGGACCACAGGCCGACAGGCCGGGTCCGCAGCTTGGATTGGTCGCATTGGTCGGATCAGTCGACGCTGGGACAGATGCAGCTCGGTCCCCGCAAAGCCGCGGGCCGAGCTCTCCGGAAGGGGCTTTGGTGCCGGAAGATGCTCGCGCGGAAGCGTGCTAGAGCGAAGCTGTTGCAAATGAGTCGGTGAGCCTGGAAATGGCTTGAGGCATCCAACAGGACGAGCATAAAAAGGAAGCTGAACAACAAACACAAGTTGGGATGACCTTTCTGTTCTGACAAATGGCGAAGACTGCGCATGACACTGTGCTGCATGGGGAGCTAAAACGGGCCGGAGACGTGTGTGAGGGCGCAGCTCGACATGAATCCTTTGATCAGCCCAGGCAAACGTGATCAGCCCATGGTGCTCGTGGCATTTATAAATGCACTGGCTTCACATCGTCCAAGTGCCGGGTTTGAGTGAAGCTCGGCCTTTGATGTAGAAAACACACTGCCTTCCTCCCCATTGCGATGCCAATTCTGCAGTAATTAGCACCCATGCTAAGCCTCGCTGAAAACATGATGTTCCCAGGCACGTAGGCATTCTACATTCACGGGGCGGTGCGTCCGGCTGTGTCGACACGCCGCAGAATGGCAAGCAGCACAAGCTGGGCCAGTCCGCAGCGCCTGTATCAACCCGGAATGTATCCATACGACATTTGCAAAACCGACTGGTAAAGGGAATGCACCTACAGCCTGAGAGGAGTTCGCAGACGATCATGTCCCTGTGCCTGTTCCAAACAAGTCAACGATCACATGCAATTTGCGCTCTCTGAAAGAACCGTCTCCTCGCCAAAAGGTACGTCTTTGTTGATAAGAAAAGGAGCCATCTTGTGGCCAGCTGTTCACTTTCGCATCATCCCACCAACAATCATGGAGTTGCCAGGTTCTGCACCTGTTCGGAAAAACGGGCATGTGCATGTCAATGTTTGGTGTGGGAGGTTACTGGAGTGATGGCCATTCTTGGACAGCGCCTTGAAGGTCAGCGTTCTTTCGTAGCCGCCTTCAGCAGCCAGGAGGGTGGGGCCAAGGCACCATCAGAACAAAAAACGACCACTCTGACACCAAAAGGAAGCTGGCAGTCACGTTTAGTCAAAAATATATATCGAAAAACAACAAGAAGAAGAAAAAAACCCTTGGGCTCATGGCCTAGGGCCTAAGGGAAAGAGGCCGAAGGCCGAAGCGACATTTTTTTGCCTCGCGGCTTTTGCACCATCGACCGCGTGAAGTGCAGCACGGGCATAAACCGCACGCCTCAGTCTCAAGAGAGGCCTAAGGTCCAGCCACTGGGACACGCCCTCAGGTCGTGAACCCACCCACCCCGCAAAAAATACTCGAGGATGATTGGGCGAACGCATGTTGCCGTCAAGCCCACGGTGCTCCCACCGCGCTACGCGTTTCTGCACCCACGGGGAAAAACCAATGTTTTGCCCAAAGAATTGCAGACGGAACCCCCAAAATGCTTCACAGACATCCCCCAACGACTCCCCCGAAGGTGAAAAAACAATGCAAAAGGTGTCCAATAACTTTGCTACAGCTTTCCCGAATTGAGGCAAGTGAAGATCAGAAGGCCCCAGAGGGCCAAACAAACCCAAAGAAATGGGTTTGTCTCAAAATAGGGAGACTCCCTGGCTTCGCTGAAGGCAGGTGGAAAAAAAAACATCAGCTTCTGAAAACCAAAAGAGCCCTTCCGACTTTTTAGCTCTTGGGTCATCTTACTTTCCGAACCCTGGGCCTTGCGAGTTTGTGGGCTCCCGGGAAGGCAGCCGTTTGAGTGAGCGGCGAGGGCTGTTGTCCTCGCCGGCTTCCTCGGCACAGGGCCCGATCGCCAAGGACAAATCGCCCCGATCGGCCGAAAAGAGCCCCGGGTTGAGAAGGCGCATTTGTTGAGAAGGCTCTTTGGAAGCTCCACCGACGGCACGAGCTAGTTCGACCCTCTCATGCACAGCGGTCCTGCTTGGAATAAAAAAAAAAAAACGAGTTGCGTGTGCTTGCTGCATGTCAAGAGCTGCAACGGCAAGGGGGAAATGGGAAGATCATGGCCCTCAGGGGGTCATGGCTCACCCGCTGGTCAATGAAGGCAGCTAAAGGCTGCTGCCCCCGAGGATGGCAAGGCGTCGGCAACTAGAAAATGGCCGCCCCCTTCTGAGCAAGTCAAATCACACAAGAACAAAACGAAAGAGAGCAAGCAAGAAAGAAAGACGTAAGCGTTTTGTCTACACACCCAGCTTCCCAAGCACCTCCGCATTTTCGCTGAGCCGCGGCATCGCTCACGCCGGCGTCCTTGGCGGCATGCCGCGCATCATTCAGGGCCTCGAAGAGCCACATGCGGCCGCCTGGCATTTTTCCCGACATCTCCCCCCCCCCAGGAAACACGGGCTCCCTTTTGAATCTAAAAGCTTCCGACCCCTGAAGAACGCGAAAGGAACCCAGCGCCACACCCACCCTGGCCATGCCTTTGGAATGGACATCTCGCACGTCCTCCATCATTGTCCTTGGAATGTGAAGCTGCCCGGCCGAACTGGGGCCATTCTTCTGTATGTAGTTGCTTCAGGCGGGGAGGCTGTTTCAGGAGGTGCCTAGGCTTAGAGATTGATTAAGAAAGATATAGAGATATAGCCCCTAGCTGTGAATTGAGAAAGGCACAGCCTAGAGTAGGGGCCTAGTCATCAGATGTTGTACCCAAGCATGGCTAAGGAACCGCATAAGACCTCATCCCGCTAAGCCACAAGAAGGTGCGCAGGCTGATGGACCCGTCGGACGCAGAAGTAGGCGCTTTTTGGAAGATCTGGCGCAAGGACTCGTACTCCACTTCCTCCAAGTGCGTGGGGCGGCTGTTGTTATGCAACGCGTATGGGCGACCAGGGAAACCACAAAGAAAAACCACAATACCTGACAGTCCCCAGCTACAGAAACTTGGCAAAGGGGGCGACACAGCCCAGACGCCTGACTTGTTCTGCAAGCAGGGCAGCGCACTCAAGATAGGCCCTTGGAAGCCCGTTTGGCTCGTGCCTCAACCGTTTCACAGCAACTGGCTCGGCCAATCAATCGCACGCCATGTGCTTCTGTCATGGACGGCGCCTTGAAGCTGGCATACTTCCGGCTCTCCAAAGGGATCTGCTTCCGCAAATGCTCCTCCCAAAGGCATCAGTTCATGTGTGTGTGCCTGTTTGGACCAAGATCAAAGTACAAAAGGAATCTGTGAGTATGGTACCTTCCTAAGAGAACTCATGTTTCTCCTCGGCGAGCTGGTCACAACTTGCCGGATACATCACGTCCTGGCCCCCTGGCCCTCAAAACAAAGCTGCATAGGGGAGGGGCCGTTAGTTGGATGAGTTCCCCCCCTTCCTTGCCGTGGCTGGGGTCGGTTTACCCCAAGAAAAAGGAGTCCAGCGCAGCCCTGACCCACTGACCCGCCAAAAACTCCGCTCCGCCAGCTGAGCGAAGGAGTCGAAATCCCCGGCGGCGCGGCTGATCTCCACCCGGGGCGTGTTGGCCTCGGCTTCGCGAGGCTTGGGCCGGGAACCTGAAACCAACTTGCCTCAGCCTCTGTGGGAAATGCGGATGAAAATGGGGAAGGCCCTGGCCCAAACCCAGGTGAGGCTTTGTTCAAGCACCGCATTGCCCTTGTTCCTGCTCAAGGATGTGACCCGCCGCTTCCGGGAACAAAGGCATACCAGATCTTCCTCCCATGACGCCATCCAAACCGCTTTGCCGCCCAGGCACCAGCAGCCGACCCAGGATCTCCGGGTGTTTATTGAGACCTGGGCGGCAGCCCCAGGGATTGAAATACCGAAAATGTGGCGCTGTGACATTGCCTCTCACCAGCGCAATGCATCTTTAACTCTACACAAGAATGTGATAGGTTCCCACACTAATGGGCGCGAGCAGCAAGCAATGGACTTCGCAACAAAGGTCGCACAAGCTCAATAGTGTCTCGCAACGCGTATGTCCCATGCGCCCCAAAATTCCCAAAAGAATCGCAAAGCTACTCGCCTTTGCGCGAGGAATTGCACCTCAAGTCGCAACTGTGTATCTTGTCCGTGTGCTTGTGTGACTGGTTGCGAGCTTTGCCCACCTCTATGATGCCAATGGAAAACCTTCCAAATGACGAACTCTCCCTTTGGAAGGTTTCTGTCAAAACAACCTGAAACAACACGTACCCTCCACCAACACTCATGCAAGTCGACAGAACTGCGCTGGAACACCACCTTCGGCGGATTTGGGGGGACCCCTGTCCACCATGGCCGGGTTCGGAAAACTCACCTAAACCAGCTAGGTTTGAAGGTTGCTAGGACCTTAAACCACCTGCTCGGATTAACAGGTTGCTAGGGCCATAGGTTTAGGACCTTAAGCCTTTATCTGGTTGCTAGGACTCAAACGGGATAGTAGGACCACCTGCCGGCCCATTTGCGTTTGGGCGTTCAAAGCTCCTGGGTCCTAACTCGGCCAAAGCGGCGGGCGTGGAGAGCACTGTGCACCACCTGGAAGGCCTCACAGCGACTTTGGCGCTTTGGGGCGGCGCCGGCATGGACAACTTGGCGCTGAAGAACCGCCCTGGTGGTTGAGCTTCTGGGCTTTTCAAGATTTTAAACGGGCATGAATCCAGTTTGGAGCTCCGTCTCCGACTTCGAGTCAAGGCCAAATGGCGTTTGTCTCGAAAGTGCGTCTCTGAAAAAGGATTTTCTGTAGGGCAGAACTCGCGGCTAATTCCACCGAGCAAAGCTGCTGGCTTCGGCTTCCAAATCGAAACCGATGGCCCGTGTTCCATTTGGCTGGAGAAGGTCTCATTCGCAGTTGCGGGGTTGAATGCGAGAATGCATAGGCAAGCTGAGAAGCCCCAGTTAGCAAGATCGGTTTCCTCCAAAAAAGGCCAATCCCCCGCTTTCAAAATCAAAACAACCCTGCTTCTGGCCTACCTCTTTGTTGGTTTTGTTCTTGCTCCCTTTCCGCCCGAAGCAAAAGGCAGGTTTGGGGTACCAAAAAGGGGCACCACCTCTGGCAAGGCCCCGCCTTGCGCCCGCACCGCATCTTGCCTCGGATGGGGCAAGGAAGCGTTGTCATGTCTTTAAAACATGGACCCCGATCTTGAAAAAATGGACATCACAAGATACTCAAAGTCTGTGTAGTCTGTTGTCCTATTTTCCTTAGGGCGTCTCCCAAAGAAACATGGAACCCCAAAAGTGGCAAGCTCTTCCTTCGGTTTCCCAATTTTGGAGCACCCCCTCGTTTTGAGCCAACCTGCAACCTGGTCCCGAAACAGCCGGCTGTTTAGCCCAAAGAATATTCAGGGACCCGTCCAGGTACCCACGAGCCTGCAACAAACAGGGGGACCCCTCTCGGGATTGGAACGACCCCTGCTTCAACCTGTCCACTCGTCGATCGAAAGGCTACTCCCGGTTCCCTGCGAGAGAGTAACAACCGGGTACGGCCAGCTGGGACCACACCTGCAAACACGCCAGCGGGACCTCGACGAAACAGAATGGTCAAAGGGTCGATGAGCTCTGAGGGGCTGTAAGCCAAGCCGAAGGTGTCCCCCCAAGTAATGAGGGGGTCCATTGAGCCATAGCTTTTCCTACAACGCTCCAAATATGAGATATAGAGCCGTAAGTGGAAATCCACAGTCAACCCCTGTTGTTTGTCGTGTTGGCATTCTGGGATATCCACATCTGTATTTCGCGGGACTTGCACGTTCCGCCCATGAATGCACTCCAATCTTTGAGTGCTTCTGGAGCCGACTCAACGTCAAATCGGACGAAGACCGCCGAGCCCACCGAACAGAGAGCGGGTCACAAAATATTCAATGAATCAGATCGTGGCCTCTTTTCAACAGAGACCTAAAGAAGGAAGCTTCACGGCACTTATTTGCACCAATGCATCAGTACCGCAGAGCCTGCACGCCAAGGTTCTGCTGCACCAGGCGTTGCGATAGCCCGAGAGGTTCTGCTCCTTTTGCAGTCGCATCAGGCGCAGGTACTCCCGGCCTGCCAGACCGTCAGAATCTAGGACACTCCTAGCGTGGGAAACTGGGGGAGGAGACACCCAAAGTCAGTGGAAGCCCCAGAAAGAGCCTCACGTGCATTTCCCAACGAACGGAGCTGCAGGCCAGCAGCCTCTGACTTAGGTTGCAGCCCCCTTGGAAGAAATGCCAAACAAAATAGGGGAGCTCATTCCATCGGCAATCTGGGCGCTCCGGCGGTCCATGGTGCCGTTGTGGTTGTAATCCACCTGGTCTAACAATTCCTTCACCTGCGCCACGCAGCCAGGAAACATCGCCCACCCTGCCCGGCACTAACTGTTTGCACGTACCCACCCGAAGGGAGCCTATGTGCCATCAAAACTCCCGTGCGTCGTGACCATGGTCTCTGCATGGGAAGCCTGGCCATCCATATGGCGGTCAAGACATGTGGTGGGTCAAAGCGAAGCTTTCCACCCCACTGCTACACCTTGTTGCAGGTGGTGCAAGGGGAGAGGGGGGCACCAGGCACCCCCCCACGTCCACGTCAATTTACCCCCGCAAAAGTCTGCGGCATTTCTGCTGGCAGGGGCTTGACAAGCCCCACTTGCCACGTAGGTTCAAAGGCGAACAAAGGGCACTTGGCAGACTCCCTACTGCAAAACAAGCGGGATTCTTGGGAGGGATCGGCGCACCAGCGACTGAGAAACTGCTGGGAATACAGCTCCCAATGCACAAAGCGAAAAGCGCACAAAGTGCTTGAAAAACAACCATTTGCTCATCTGCTCATCTCGCGGTCAAGAACGAATGTAGAGCCTTCTCGCTTGCCCGTTCGAAAGGCCAAGTGCCCGCCCATCATCCCAGCCAAGCCCAAAACAAGTGCAAAGCCCCTCCCTGTCTCCCGCCTCATCCAGGGAGCTCTCATGCCCCACGTACCGCAAGAGGTCGTACCTCACCATCGGATCCGGAGGTCGAGCCATGTCAGCACCATAGGCTCTGCTTCCAGAAGCCTCCGGCCACCTTGCCTTCTGGTTTGGCATCCGGGCACAGATGATTTGTTCCCCCCACGTCACGAAACCGGGTGCTTCGTGAAGCCCTGGCTTCTGGGCGAAGTGGATGCCCAAATGCCACAGCTTGATCCGCCTTTCTTCCCCCGTTCGTAGAAAACCAAAGTGGCGCTTGGCCAGGTGAAAGGATCCAGATGCCTGGAAAGGCTGGCCAAGTCCTCATGGTCCAATCGGGCAATAGCTGACAGCCCTCGGGCAAGGAATGGTGCAAAGCACAAATTCCTGTGGGCCACTCGGCTCAGGCACCCTCGGCGAGAATTGTGTTTCCTCTGTTTTTCCGTGTCCCCTTAAACCCTGAAGACCTTATAGACCTGAACCCCAAAGACCCTAAAACTCTAAACTCTAAAACCCAAAACCCTAAACCTAAACCCTATCACAGCTGACCTGGCCAGGCGGTTAATTGGGGCGGATAACATAGATTGGGGCTTCCAGCGTCCGCGCTTGATCCAGGGCTGGACACAATTTGCCTCAACAACTCTTGAGCCCCTGCCTCCCCCCCCCCCTTCAGGGTTGCTTTTGGGAGGCCACCGGTGTCACATTGCATGGAGACCCTTTGGCCCTGGATTTTTTAGGGAGTTCACGTCTGGGACTTTCTCTCCCAATTCCAACCGCGCGCCGCGACCCCCAATCGATCCATCGGATCCATCCGAGTCGATCTGGGCCCCGGGGCATCGCCAGGTTCGGCATCTCCCCGTCCTCGTCGCAGAAGGCGTCGAAGTGGCCCTGGAGCTCCTCCGACTCCGCCCGCGTGAAGCCGTGCCTCGGCCGGCCACCGGCTTGGGATTCTGGGGGGGCCGGTTCACCACACACACGCCAAACACAGGGGGCCAGAATATCAATAAACCACACCCTGGCATAAAGACTGAGGTTGAGCAAAAATTGGAGGCAAGCGGACAGATAGACACACACGCACACAACTACCAAGAAAAGAGCGGACAAGTCCGACGAATGCGCAGGCAGAAGGAAGGAAGAAAGAAAGAAAGAAAGAACGAAGGAAAACAATGTGATTTGGGTTGGCGCCTAAAGCCCCCCTCAAAAAAAACAACGGTATGCTAGTAGACTACCAATAGTTTTGTCAGTTGCTTGGTGTCACCAAGTTGTTCTAGGCACCGAAACTTCCATCAGGCTCATTCACAACACACCGCTTCATTTGCGCAAGGCGCCGAGCTGCAAAACCTTCCGTTTACGGCCTTTAAAGTCAGAGTCAAAAGAGGAAATTCTGAAGAACACCTTGGGCGAAAAACGGCACAGCAAACTGCCAGCTGAGAGCCAGCTGTCCACACCTCGCAAAGACAAGGATGCAAACACAAAGACACAAACACGCTCGAAGACTCTTGTCAGCTAGAAAGCTGCGTGCTGAATCACGTCTACGGCAAGTCACTGGACCACGGAAAGGAAAGTTCCCTGGACCCCTCCTTGCGTAGATATTTCTCAGGAGGACGCCAGGCACCCTTCACCAAATCGGGGTTCGAGCCGAGGAGCATCTGCCGCGCTTCCGTAAGCAGGCCGAAGACGGCATCGAAGTGCAAGCGCTCCTCCTGGTGCTCTCCACCACACAACAGGACAACCCCTCCGACCCCTCCCAAAAAAAACAAAAGCCCGCAAGTGTCTCGCTTGATGGGCCAAGAGCCATACGGCCGCAGCGGAAACTGAGAGGACTTGCAACATGAAACAGCCATGTGGAACCAGGGAAAGGTTGGAATGGAGGCACCCCAGTTTGGTCCATGGGGTGTTGCCTGTTACCCACCCCTGTTGAAGCCACTGACTGGGTTGAAGCCGCACCCGGCCAGCCGCGCGGCTCCTCCATCGCGCCTACAAGCCCAAGCAGCTCCTTCAGCTCCTTAGCGCCGCACCGAACTTCTTCAAAGCCATGAGAAATCTAAGGTGCGGCACTCTTTCTGCTTGGTGCGCGAAACATTCTGCTAACAGTCTCTTTGCCCTTCCTGACCTGGGTCGAGCTCCATAACGATCCAAAAGCTTTCTCACAAAGCAACCGAGCCTTCACCGTCTCGATCCTTCCCTTACCTGGGTCTGGGCCCTCCGGCCGCCTCCAGTGTGCGCAACTACCGCGTGCTCCGGAGAGAAACCCCCAAAAAAAAACACTGCAAAAACCTAGGCCACGGCTCCCACCACAGCTCCCACCTCCCACCCTCCCTCCCAATGCATAGGGACTCTATGTTTAAAAGACACTGTGCATCTGTTTGAACAGACTAGCCTTGTTAGGGGTTGCTTCAAGCACAAGCAGGCAACCCCACAACTGGTAGCTGTCCTTTTGGCCCCCCTTTCAAGCCCAAGACCTCACAAAATTTGCACCACCTGCTTTGGGGACATTTTATTCCACCTTCAGACACGCCCCATATACAAATCCACCACCATCATCAGCAACAACAACAAACCACAAGCAAAAAAACGACAAATCTTAAAAAAAAAGAAAAGAAACGGGGGATTTGCCAAGCCTTTGGGCCGGAGGCGCCGCCCGCAGCAGCGTGAAGCCCATGGGGCGCAAGGCCTCGGCGGCCTCCACGGGGGTCACCTGCCCGTCCTTGTCCATGTCTACCTGACGGACATGGGTCCCTTGGCTCTGGCTCTATTTTATAGGACCCCCCATAGGAGACCCCATAGGAGACCCCATACAAAACCCCGGAGGGAAAAAAAAAAAAGAAAGAAAGAGAAAGGCTCCCTCAAAAAGAAAAGACACCCCTGTAGAGGAAAACTCGAAACATTGATGACCTGAACTACCTACGGGGAACCATTGGACCACCAGCCACGTCCCATCAGAAAACTCTCCAAAGGTCTCATGTTGTCCCTGCGCAACTTCCGGGAAAATGCGGAGATTTGGCTGAAGACCAGCGGACAAGCATGCGACCTGCGTGAGCTCTATGTCGGAGATTGGTTTTTGTTCATGCGGGGATATTGGGTTTCAGGGGTTGGCTGGGCTTAGGGTTGAAGTGGCTTGGGGGCGTTCAGGGGGCCATTCAGGCATGTGCCCTTGCGGCCAAGGGGAAGAGTAAAATGCCTTTCGTTGGCTGGGCCGTGCAAGCCGGACATGAGGTCCATGCTCCATCCCAGGTTCTCTCGCGCGTTTCTGGTTGCATCGGCCCCAAAGCCTCAGCTCGGCCAAGTTAAACCCAGCCCAGTCGCCCCCCAAACGGCCCAGCTCGCCATGGACCGTCGAAGCCGAACAAAAGACGTCCAAAGCCTGCACTATGCACGACATGCGCGCGTGTCCAGCTTGCAGCGACAGACTGCCGACCAGTTGGTTGAGCTAGCGAACCAAGCCAGCCAACAACCAAACAACCAAACCAAACCACCCACCCAACCAATGATGCTTGGTGGAGGCTTACTCCAAGTCTGGATTTGCAGTGGTGTGGCACTCAAAACGTGCAAATGCGCACAGAGCTGGTGCTGGCAAACTGCTTCATATCTGTGTTTCTTTGCTTGCATAATTCTGTGTCTCCTCCAGTCAGTCTTCTTTGCCTGTTGCCGCCTTCTTCGTTTCTCCTTCTGCTTCATGTGTTGCTCCCAACTTGGCAGCCCTTCGGCGCGGATCTCGACCCGTTTTCATCAACAAAGCGACCCGGCGAACAAATATCGCGAGGAACTCCCAGCGTGAGCGGGCCCCTCCTTGTTTGGCCCACAAACTGCCACGCAAGGTCCGCGAATTCCCGGAATTCGCTCTTGCTTTGCAAGATCCGCAAAGCGGGGATCCACAAGAAAGCCCATCCCCAGCCGGTTGCCATCCCCATCCCCCAACGCCTTCTGAAAGCTCTCTGCGAAGCTGCTCATCCTCAAGCGGCCACAAGGAGCGGGGGCCCGGATGCAACGCTTGTGGCGGCCATCTGCCCAAAATCAAGCATTGGGCTTGGATATCCATCGTTCCAAGAGCGAAAGGATTCAAAGGTCGCAGGAAAGCAACCAAGCCAAAGTGGGAAGAAGAAGGACTGAGCCCAGATTGTCAAGCAAAAAAAGCGAAAGCCAGATCCCCACATAAGCGCGCCCACCCATCTTGAAAAGCTCCACTAACATGTACAAAATAGGCATCTAGGTAGGCAAAATGTGTCCCTCTCCTCTGATCCTTCCCCGTAACACGCTGCCCCCTCGGTCATTTGGCTTGTCTTTTTGCCGGCCACTCCTTCTCCCAGACGGAAAAAACAAACTAAACAAAATCAAAAATGACATCCATCCACTACTGGAATGAGTCAAAACCATTTGCATGAGACTCTTGAAGAAACGTTGAACAACGTTGTATAATGCCTACACCTGATTTTCATCCTACCCGCCGCGCTCACAGCCTATTATCGCAAACCCTCCAGTTTGTCAGAACCAAACTGCAGGGTTGGTTTCCAGCATCAGCAAGCAACAGATGCAAGCCTTGCAATTCGGCCCCTCGCCTCCTTGACATCGGCTTTGTCAATTGTTCGAGATCTCCGGGTGTACAAAAGGTCGGGACACTACGGCTCTTGGCGGTAGTGAGCTTCCCTACATATGCAGTATGCCCCAAGTCCCCCCAAACCGCCTCTGAATTGTTCAAACTGCCCGAAAGTGCCGACACATGGCCGACTCGCCGAGCCACACGATTCGGTGGAGCCGGCGGCAAATCACCAAGAACTCGTAGAAGGTCAAGGCGCACTTTTGCAATGCCTCCTCCTGGTACGCTTGCCCGAGCGCCACTCCCAGTGTGGAACATGGAGGGATGGGGTCCCTTAGCACCTCCGTGCTGACTGGTCCCAAGTGACCCTCCATGAGACGTATGTTGAGCGGTGAAAAGATCATCCACCGCGTGCCTGGAGAACTTTCCTGGGCCCAAATCAAGTGCAGTGGCTTCCCGAGACCTTTTTTTTTCAATATTTGCGTGGAGTCCATTTAGCAAATGAAATGGTGGAAAAGGACATGAACGAACTGCTTGTGAACCTGCACCCTCCACCCATGAAAATAATGATTGGAGGATGGGGATAGCTTTGCCAGAAGTAGCGGCTCACGTCCCTGGCTTGGCGCCAAACCTTGAAGCCAGAACCCTCAAAACTGGGGGGAGAAGTGGCAATGCATTTGAATAGGGAACCTCACAAAACTTTGTTGCACATCAATCCCCACCTAAATGGGTGTGTGTGTGTTTTGTTTTGTTCTTGTTGCGGGGAGGGGGTGTGGCGTTAAAGGGGGACAAAAGGAAACCGCCCATTTGGTGGGGTCCCCTTAAAAGCACACCTACAATCAAACAGAAAAACACAGCCGGCTCCGCGGGCGCTATTTTGGCCATCCGGAATCCGAGTACCCGGCCCCGAGCTCGCCGATGATGCTGTTGAGGTGCTCGGCACCTCCGGAAGGGGCCATCTGTTACAGAACGACGACAAGCCCAAAAAAGCACCAACTCACCACAAAATGGCACATACTGGGAATCCGCAGGTGCTGAAACTCACGCTGACCTTCGAATCATGCGCCCAGATAGCACTGAGGCGGACAAAAGTTTGAGTGACGATTCCTTTCCCGGGGCTGTTAACCTAATGAAGAACTGGGGTTCTGGTCGTCAAGCGTCCTTGGTGAACCAAGCTCCAAAACTAAGCCAGCGGCTATACACCGTGTGCAGGGACAGAAGTGCGTCAGACAGGTTCTGGCCATTCATCAGCCTGGCGCATAAAAAGAGTCCCCCACTCTCCTGGATGTGGATCCCCCTCCCTGTAGAGAGCTTTGGACAACCCCATAGGTACGCTAACAGGGTCGGCCAAACCGTTCTTAGCCCGTGCCCCCAAACTTCCGCCCGTCTGACTTGATCTGACATTCTTGGCCCCGACAAAGAGGCCATGTCCACCCGAATCACCTGGTGGCAACCATGATCCCAATCTAATCTTGCGGCCGGCTTTCCTCCAAAGCAACTACGCCCATCTGGGGAAATTTGAAGACCGCATATGGAACCCCCTCCTGTGGTCGCATGGTCAATCCAAACCCCGCGCCCATCCCCCGTCCCCTACCCGCGCCACCTCCTGGACCTCCCCCCCACGCTCCTTTTCCATTCCTCAAGCCAAGTAGTGACAGCTGCACCAAGCAAGTCGGAAAAAAAAAAAAGATGAAACAAAAACATAAAGAGACCTTTTCGCGTCGGATGGCCTGCTTTTGGTGGGCGAGGGAGTGAGGCTGGCGGCCCTGGAGGCGCTGTCGAACTCCTCCTTGGCCTTCTCGATCTCCTTCGAGCGCGGGAAGGTCTCCCCTTCGGTTTGGGGAGGGCTGGCGGAAGCTTGGCGGAGGCTTGGGGGAGGCTTGGGGGAGGCCTGGGGGAGGGTTGGGGCAGGGTTGGTTTTGTAGGGTTGCCTCCATTTGGGCTGTCCAAACGACTATCACCTGCGAAAGAACAACGACTCCCCCAAATGGGCGTGATTAATTTTGCATTGGGGACCCTTTGGTCGACGTCGTTCACGTGGGGATGCATGATCAATTTTTGGAAGATCTCCCCCATTTAAAAACATCCTCCGCCCCACCCCACCCCAACCCTCCCCCAACCCACAAGCTCAACCCTCCCCAAACCCTGGCAGTTAGAAACCCCGACGTCTCCTCCAAACTGAAGCCCTCATGCGCGCGGTAGGCCCCCACCACCCGCCACAGCTCCTGGCACTTCTGGACTCGAGGCTTGGTCAATGTTCAACGGCAGGTACACCAATTCATGTGTAGATCTACTTATTTGTTGCTTTCTGCATTGATATACTTGTTTGCCTATTCTACACCAAATAAAGAAACCAATCAAATACATGCACCTACTTCTCGATTTAGTTATTTGTTTCTTCATCATTTTTGCTTGGTTGCGCACAAGTGTGTCTTCATGCCACGCTACGGGATGTCCATCCTGGCAGTATCCAAATTGAAGGAACTGCATCATGATGAGCCCCCTTTTCCCCAGGTGAGCTCGCGATAGCATAGGGTTTGTGTCAAAGTAGGCCGGCCCCAAACATGAATGGATCCCTTTGGTTCCCCTTGAAACCAACCCCCAAAGCAAATAACATCACAACCAACCTGGATAGATTCCACCCAAAAAGGGTGTTGATCGACCTCCAAGCTTAAACCACCAAACGAGATCCGACGACAGCGACGAATCCGACGTCCGACCTCCAGGTTGTCGCAGCGCCGGGTGGTGAGGCCACCGCTGGTGAGCAGCTCTGTGGCCAACTCCTCGCTGACGGAAGCCGCGGTTTCGATGACGCGGGGTGATCCGAGGTGTCACCCAAGAGTGCGATGTTCCCCTTTGTGAGGGGGGAGGGTCCCTATGCTTCAGCTGAGGAGGAAAAAAAAAAGATGCACTTGGGCACCATGTTTGCATATCAGAACCAGTTGGCTTGGAAGATCCTCTTGTGAATCAGGATATTTGGGCATGAGTCTTTTGAGAAACCCCAGGCAGGGCTCCCCATGTTTCCTCTTCAAACATCAGCCCACCAAAAGAAAAATCACTGGAAGCCGGCCGGAAAACTGATTCAAGTTTAAGCCAAAGGGGAGATACAGGGAACCCTGGCCCCGTCCAACCTTTCGAAACCCAAAAACCCGATTCAACCCCCTCAAACATGGCTGGCTTAAACCCTTGAAAGAAGCCTTTAAGCAACCCTTCATGGTCTGACTAACTTCTGACCCAACCAAGGCAGGGGGCACATAAATGTCTGATTGAAAACGAAAAACGCACCCCAAACAAATAAAAGGCAATTAATTTAGACGGATCTCATTTTAGGCGTATTGTCTCATTGCATGCCTGAGTTGATTCTACACGCGCACTCTCTCGCCCTTCTCATGCCAATGGCCTCAAACCTCTCCCTTGAGCTTCCCAACCCTTGAAATCTCCCGGCCTTGGTGCAAATCACCCCGATGGTAAGAAGGAAGCAGCGCATCCTCGGCAAACTCAGGGTCACGTGATGCAATGCGCGGCTTTGGTTCCTCCCAACAGGGAGCGAGGCAGTGATGAAACCCTAGATTGGGCCACAACTGGAACAAGATCATGGCATGATTTCGAAACACCACAGGAGCCGCAAACAGTTTGGCAAACGCGCATACATATCCAAACTTGGTGAGTAGGCCGCTTGCTGTCCACGATGTTCAATCAAACTGACCCAAAAGACAGTGTATTGTCCTCAGTCTCTTCTCCCCTTCCTTCCCTCCCCTTCCTTGGTGGAAAACAAGGGAGGGCTCCCAGGCCGCCCGGCCGCCAGGCTCCCCTTTCTCCGCTCCCAGGGGAACTGTTGGCAAATTCTCAGCGCCCCGGCGCAAACGCAGAGGGGAAACAAGGTTCCCGGTCATCTGACGGTCATCTCCCCTTACGTAAATCCCAGGGAAAGGAAACTCGCTTCGAATTGGGAGGGGAAATATCGGGAACCCTGCCAAGAACCCATTGGCGAAAGCTTGCAAGAATTAAATCAAATGCCCAACACCAGGAACAAACAAACCAAAGACTGCACTTGGTGACGACACCATCGGGCGCTATTGGGGGAGGTGTCTGGACATATTATCCAGCCTCATTGTCAGAGTATCAACCGACGCCTGCAACCTCGCCACAGCTTCCACGCTGGGCATTTGCTCCAGCCTGCTATGGAGAGCTTCTACCGCGAAATTCAGCCGCCCGATTTCAGCGGCATGCTGCGCGTGAGACTCGCTAACCAGGTCTTGCAGGACGTGCAGGTTGTCCTCAGCTTCGGCGACAGCTCGGCGAAAAGGAAATGCATGGGGGCGCTCTCTTCAGGGGAGACCACCTTTGCTGAGTCCATTCAGAATCACATCCGGCCGCCATCGAATACGTATCGCGTCCAATGCCCGAGTTTGAGTCAGAAATGTTGACCCTGTCTCATGCCCAAAGTGGCAAAAGTTTACATGAAACCAAATGTGGGTATGCGGTATGCCTTTTTGTGAGAGTACCCTATGTGGGGAGATGCTTTGAAAATCCGAAGGGAAAAACAAATTGAGAGAGGTCACCATATGACTCATGGACCTCCAAGAGCGGGCTCTCACCCATCGAACCCTCAACAAGGACTTCGTTGTGGCTGATCCATAGCCACCTTGGAGGTTCATGACAAACTTCAGGGAACCTGGGCAGTGTTGGACGGGCCATTTCCTGGGCGGCTCGAATTTTCATTGGGCAAGCGCCTGCGTTTCAGAAGGAACGTGTGCACGACCGAGCGTGCAAGTGCCGTTGGTGGGGAGGGTGTTTGCAAACTAACATGCCCTGGAGGCATGTAGCCTACGCTTATTCTGGTGCCGTGCCGCGGCAATCTCAGTGGCTCCCGGGTTTGAGCCCTTCCGCCTACCCAATCTCGTTTCAACATGTATGGGGAAATCGCTGAAACAAGAGGCCCATCTCGCAAATCAGGACAAGGACCAAAGATCTGAACAGCTTTCTCAACAGATTGCCCCTCTGTCGCAAAGGGAGGGTTCCTCATTAACTTGAGGTGAGCAACCTCGCCAAGGTGTGCGGGGCCTTGGAAGGCAGCCGGAAGGAACTTTCATCTTTATTGGTAGGATGTCCAACTATTTATCATGGGTGAGCGCCTGTTACCCCCAAATGAGCTGCTAACTAGTTGCAGTGCGTGTGTTTGCGCTTTGAGCAGGTCACTTGCGGGGGATTCCCGGTTCCCCAACCATCTCTCAGACGCGGCTTGCGGCCCGAGCTGCTTCCAAGCCCTGCAGTGCACCGGCGCTCTGCGTCCTGGCTCCCGTGTCGCGGGTCCGCCCCCTTTTCGACGGACCACCATGTTTAAAGAAGCATATGGAAGATTGCCATGCTTTGGTGAAGCCCAATCGAAGTGACAGTGTAGTCATAGGGAGTTGAAACTCCAAGCGGCACAAAGGGGTTTGTGCCACAAACATTGGAGGAAGGGTAGGTGGTGAGGCGGATGGCGTGCTTGTGTCCAATGGGCGCATGTCAAATGAGGGAATCCGCTATCCCCAAACCGCAAGGGAATTTTGTGAGAACTACGACCTTTGTGCAATGCTGGATTTTGATTGGAAGACCTAGGGTATCCTTCACTTTTGGGTGGAGCTCCTACCCACCTTGGTCTACCGGGTTGATAAATCCGAAGTCAAAAGTAGACATGGATTTTGGCAAATTATGACAAGCTCATCTTGGAGCAAAACGAGCTCACGCATGATGCAGTTCCCATTCCCTTTGGATTCTTCAAAGGCGGTCACCACGTGAACGAAGCCCACCCATGGTTGTGACCCAGCAAAAAGCAGCAAGAAAAACGGACCTGAAAGAAAGCAAGACGCAACCAAAAGCACACACACCAAAAATCGCGGCAAACCAACGCAGCCGCGCAGCCGCCCATCCCCATCCCCCCATATCCCCCCCATGCGCATTCCCCGTCGGCGTCCTGGTTTCCAGGTGCAGGGCCTCTAAGCGCATCGTGGACTTCTCCGTCACCGGGTTCCCCACATCCAGCAGGCACTCTACGAACTGCTCCATGCGGATGACGTCGCTATTGATGGCCAGGGTCTTCATCACCTCACAGGGCTAGAGCGTGTGATTTGGTGTCAAAGGCAAAGGAAACCGGCCATTCTGGAGGTCCCATTTCGGGTGTGACTGAACCATCGAACTGGTTGCTGGCTTCCTTCCAGGAGGTTTCGTCAGTCTATTTACCAGAGCAAAAATGGAACTTGAAAAGGGGCAATCCCCAACAAGGCTTGGGTCCCATGCTGATCTACCAGCACCTAAAGGAAGAGGGCCCTAGCCGGTTTTCAAATGCATGGAATCTTTCACAATACGTGCTCTCCTGTTGGCCCCTGAAGGGGTGAAGGCCGGACTTGCTCTCAAAGTAGGTCTCTCGCAAAACGCGCAACTCTGATCCATGAGCCAGTGAGCATCCCTAACACATTGCTACGCACTTTCCCGCCCATCTCTCGCTTCAGGTAGCCCTTCTTTGGCAGTTCTGTCATCAAAGCGCACACCCCGCCCAGAGCAAAAATGAAAAACAGAACTCGCCAATCCCTCTCCACCCAAGCAAACAGAAACAAGAATAAACCATTGCTCCGAAAATCTGCTGAAACAAAAGGATTCCTCTGCACCTCTCTGCACCTCATTTTTCCTGAAGGTCAAAGCCCATGACAGACCCTCCAGGCTCTCCGCTTCAAGCACCTCCCAAGCCCACCCCCCTGCCTCATGCACGTGGCGCGCGGGCACGCGGCACATCTTCGCGGTGAGCTGCGCCTGGTGAACCCGTGGACCGGGCGGGGTTCACGACTTGTAGCTGGCTGCACGTGGCTAACGGCAAGTGAAGCGCTTGCACCTGAACAGCTTCTGGAGAGTTAGAATGAAGATTACAGGTGATAGTACATAAGAAAGGAAAAGATGTACCCACTAACTTAATGTTGCTTTCAAGTGATCTTTCCTGGCTTATGTTGAAGGCCAAGGGAAAACGAGAGGGGACCTTAACAAAGATGCATGGTTCTTGGCTTCATTTGAGAACCGTACTTGGGTGTCCATACCCAAGCTACGCAACACCAATGATCCTGAGCGCGCGACGGCTGGCCCTAAAAGACAGAATGAAATCACATATCGCTTGCCAAAAGGGTTCCAATCGGAGCCACCTTTGCAAGCTGAGCTTGAGAAATAAGAATGATGCTTGGCCATTTTGGAGTATCGCTAAAACGACTTTCTAACCACCCTGTTGCTACTTCAAAGGCCAATCTCAAAAACAATTGCCACCACCCCCACGGGAGAATCAGCAGCAAGCCTGTGGTCCCCTCAAGGCAACTGTGACTAAAGGGAGAGGGAAAAATCATAGCTCAAACAAACGATAAACAACAAAATAATAATAATAATAAAAGAAGAAAAAATAAGGAGGAGAACAAAAAGAAGAAAAAAACACGGTTGCTTCAAAGATCTCGCTCCGAAACCCACCCTTCCGCCGCCTTCTGGCTGTTCTGCAGGAATCGGGCAAGGTCCCTTTCTCGGAGGACCCCGTCCCCGGAGAGGTTGATCTCCTTGAAGAGCTCCTGCAAGGAGAAAAAAAAGAACGGGACAGCCCTTTGCTTCCCCTTAAAGCAAATCACGCACTTGACCAGGTAGCGCGCTCCTTGCGACCTTGTCTGATACTGTTGCAGTTTGAAAAGCAAATACTGAACAGTGTTGAGCCCTGTTATTCAATTTGGCCTCTCGAAGGAGGTTTGGACACGAAAGAGTCTCCTCAAAGGAGATCCCAGAACCATCTGAATCGCCAGGGATTTGGACACATCAGCTGGTGAAGGTGTTGGTTTGACTGGCCATGCATCCTCACGGACCATGGAACCCCAGTTAAATTCTGAAACCGTGGCAACTTAATGAATTCCTGGCTACTGGCTCTCAAATGACCTCTTGACGAAACCACCTGACAAGGTAGAGGGTGATTTGAGAGAAGGTCATTTTAATGGACCCAGACTTGTTTGGGTGGAGTTTCTTTGAGCAGAAACAGTTTTTAAGGGTCCAATTCTCCTTCACTAGGCGGGCTCAAGAGGAGCCCTGAAGTTTTGCTACAAACCGCTCGTCCAAGAGCTCCCATCCAGGATGGAACAGGGCCCTGGTCACTTCCATTGGCCTGTAAAACCGGGGGAGACAAGCTCCAACGCATGGCCCCGCCCATGAATTAAAGCACCGGGCCTGTGGCCGCAGCCAACCCAAGCGCGCCTTGAGATCTTGCACGTGTCTCTTGCGATCCTCCTCCTCAGACATAAGGAGGATCTCCTTTTCCTGCCATCGGCAAGTCGGGCTCCCAGGTGGAACAATGTTCCTTTTCCTGGGGGGATGTTTGGGGGGGAGGCTCCATCTTCCCCTATATCCCACCATGGAAAAACTGGTCCCGTAAGATCTTGCCTGAGAATCCCAGTGCGTCAGTACGGTGGGCAAATACACACACACCTCCACTTCCTGTCCTTTGCTTCTTCCTCTTTCAAAATCCCTGAGCCACCAATCCAAAAACACTTAGGGATATCCAACCCGGCCTCGGAAACAAGAAAGGAAAAAAAAGGGGGGAGAAAAAAAAGGTCTCCGCGCCTGCCCGGAGGTGGTGGAGATCATGTTCTCGCTCACCACCGCCGTGAGGATGGAGAGCAGCGTCCAGGAGCTGGTCACCTGTCCGAAGTGGGGCCACTCTACTTGGAGGTTTGGAGGTTCGGTGGTCATGTGAGGGGATGGATCTCCATTTTTGGTTCAAGAACAAGGCGCTCAAATCCAAATCCGGATGCCTCTGAATAGAAAGGACGACTAAAGCGGCATTAACGTTGCAGAGGGGCCCGGCCTGGGGACTGTGGGGGTCTGTGTTTGACGAATGCCAAAAAGATGAACCACTTGCGAGGTCCACGCCAGTGTCTGGAAACTCTACCCGAAGAAAGGAAAACGGTTCAAAGGAAAGGTTAGGGTCCACCCCAAGCTTTTGTCCGGGAGATTGCTTCGTGTGCTTCTTTTTGCTTTTGTCCTTGTTGTTTTCGAGTAGTTCTGCTTTCATGAGTTGTGGTGTTGCTTTTGGCCTGGTCTGCTCCAGTGGGAAGACTGCCCGGGGATTAAATTTGGTTGTTGTTTGATGTGCTTTTTCGAATCCAGTGGTCGTAATGTTATTTTTTTATGCGCCTGTGAACATACACGGGCATAGAAAGGGCCGGAAATACAGAACTGAGCGGGTACATCAGAAATCGATGCAATTTACACCGTACCCAAAACTCCACAAGCAACCGCTCTCACAGCCCCCTGTTCCGTAAGCTGGGGACTGTGGGAGTGGTTTGTGTAGAGTTTGCAGTGGTCTTTGTACGTCTACGTACGGCATGCAAAAGCACGTCCCGGCCATGAAGAACACGAAGGCGAACTTGAAGGTGGGGATGTCGTCCATGATCATGTCCAGAGCTGCTGCCTCGAGTTTTCGAACCAAAGGAAACTGTGAACCCCCAATTTGTTCGGCCCTTGCCTCGAGTTTCCTGCAAACTAAGCAGCAAGGGCCCCCCTCTCAGAATAAAAGAAAACATGCTCAAGCAAGATCGCAGCTTCCGACGCAACCTTGGGTCTTGGAGAGACTCTCCTTCCAAACTTTGGGCCGTAAAGTACACTCAAGCGCTGAAGCGCAACACATACAAACTCAAAATCCCGTGAGGCCAAAGAAGACCCAAAAAGTGCTGATTCGAGTTGAAATCGGGGACATATAAAGAATTTCTGATTCGATCAGGGCCAAAGATTGCTGATCAAAAGCCGGTCGCGCCTCAGCGTCGGACTGGGCGCCGCTCATGACCCGGAAGAGGGTGAACATGCTGTCGGGCACCGTCCGAAAGGGCGCCGTCAGCTCCTCCGCGTGCTCTTCCGGGTCGAAGATCATCTTGTGCCCGATCCTTCGGAGATGCGAACCCCGAAACACTCTGTAGTCAGAGGCCTCTGCCATAAAAGGGCAGGAACGCTTTGCTGCTTTTGGCTCAGCATCCACTGAACTTTGGAATGGGTGCTTCTGGAAACGCCTGTTCGAAAATAGCTTTTCAACCTGCCTGTGGCGGCCCAGGAAGCCCCCTCCGCCCTGCCCCGCAATGGAAGCATCCAAAACCTCAATCCAAACAATTGCTTGCTTGGCGCCTCGGTTGGCATTTCAGTTCAGGCTCTGTTGGGGGCCAATCCCGGCGGAAAGCAAGAGCGTCTGCCCTGCCATAGGCTTAGCCACAACGTGTGCATACTTAAAATTGCTGCCAGCTCCTGGAACAAGTAACGCGAAGCTTTGCATATGTGCACAAATTGTGCACCTTCGTATGCTACACACAAATTGGGCAAAGTAGGTGTGTGATCATCTAACCCGGCGCGGGGATCCAAGGGAGAACGCGCCAGCAACAGGAGCGCATCGCAGAGGTTGGGGGATCCCCTACAAGTTCATCAATTTACTGGCGGGTTCCAATGAAAGAAGCCCCACTGCCGGAGGTCCACGCAAGTTGGAAACTGCGGGACCACCAATACTGGTGAAAATCACGCACCTGCCAACTGGCACCTGGCGTGGATTTGTACATCCACATTGTGTGTATCTTTTGAGGGTACCCTAGTCCTGGCTGCGTGTTGTTCTCTCCTTTTTTGGTAGTAGATTGGGAAAATGAAAACGCAAAACCAAACCTACTTCGGGGGGTGCCGCTTCAGAAACCGTGCTGCGCTTTCCACCCGAGACGCAGGCGGGTGGTGAGGATGCCCATGGCATAGAGCGTGACTACCGTGAGCACCAGCACCCAGACCACCCCCTGCACCGCCGCGGTCACGCTCACCACCTTGGACAATTTGCGGTCACGCGTGGCCTCAAACCCCGAAGCAACCCCAACGCACCGAAGCAAAAAACCCTCTCCCAATCCAACCCCAAGCCTCTTCAACCCCCCAACACCGAAAGCAAATCCAAAGGGCCAGGATGTACAGCGGCCGCACCGACTTCACAAGCTTCGCCAGGCGCAAGATCCTCTCGATCGCGAGTCAAAGTGGGCGTTGCCGGGCCTAATATATAGGCTCGGGGTGGGGTACTCTAAGCCACCATTCTATACTATGTAATGGGATGCCTGCCAATTCGCTTTCAAAGAGGCAAGGCGGCATTTGTTCAAACGGGCTTTCTTTGGATTCAAACGCCCCCGTGCGTGGCTTCCCCCATAAGTTTGGACCAATCCTGCGGAACTCGGCTTCTTCGATCACAAAGTGCAGTGGCCATACTAACCAAGGCCCGGGTTCTTATCGGCTGGCCTAGTTGTCTGAATCATGCTCATCATTGGTGTGATATTATACATTTATTCTCAACTGTTGTTGCTTGACTGCTGGCCTCTGTTGCTCAACGTTTTGCGGTCGTTTGGCATGATGATAATTATGTTGTTGAACTTGTTACGATACTCTTCACTCTTCACTCACTGTCTTTCTGTCGCCTATCCTGTTCATGACTTGTTCTCAGGATAGTTTGTGAAGACATGTCAGGTTGGGTTCCAGGAAACCCGGAAATCATGTGCCACTTTCACAAGAGTAGTTCTTTGAACATGCCCCTGGTTGTTCGTAGCCAAGCGCCAACTGCACAGACTGGCCTGCGCCAAAAGAAGAAAAACGTTTCTCGGGCCGGATCTTTGACCCTCATGGTCGTAAAGGTTTGGGGAACCGGGCACCTCGCTGGAAAGAAACCTCACTGACATGACGCCAGCCCGAGCCGCTGGTCACTTAGGCCACCCACCTGGGTGAATCGGCCACGAAGGGGGCGATGGGGATCTAGACGACGATCCAGCAACTGAGATCATGTTTTCCGCATGCCCCCGCCCGCCCAAACAAAGACGTGGTTCTCCTCAATCGGAACGTGGCCCCATCCGTTGAAATCTCCTGAGGAGCCGCAGAAGCCTCATGAGCATCATGAGCTGGCCCACGTTCACGCCCGAACTGGCCTCCGTCTTGCTGGCCCCCGCCGCCTGGCGAATCGGATCGAAATCGGATCTAAAAGCAGGTCTTAGGCTCCTGGGTGGAGCTTTTTGACCTGCGAACACCAAAGCGTCTGTTGTTAAGAGAGAAGACATCTCTCATCTTCCCTGAGGGGCTACTTTTTCAGCATCACACTGCAGATCAATATGGAACTTGGGGACCACCCAGCTTTGAATTGGGCCGCTTACAGTTTCCGAGTGAGGCTTCCGTCAGGCCCCGAAGGGGGCGCTCATTGGCCAGGGCTGCCAGAGACCAGGAAGGACCTTTCCAGCTCGGCCAATCCTGCCACAAGTCAACCTGAAACAACTGGACCCTGAGGAAGTACGAATTCTCACAGCTTATTCTTGAAGGAGGCGATGCCCGATTTGGGGCCAGGGTGAGGGTGCTGCTGCAAGTTGATTCCTGGGCGCTGGATAATTGTTTAGGCTGAAACAGCTTGATGCCCGGTGAGACGTGTGGCGGTGCTTGCCCAAATCATTTGGGCCTTCTGAGCCTCTAAGCAAAGCATGTTCCGGCAGCCAGATGCATGCATATTCAGAGGGAGGGGCTGCGGTCAAACGACCCCCGATTGTCCAAATGTAATCCCTTATTGAGGGGTTCACTGCTCTGGTGATTCTTTTGGTGTTACTTTCGTCCGGAGGTTTTATCAGTGAGGGGTTAAGCCTACATAACGACTGCCCTCTTGCAAATCAACCTAGAACCCAAGGGACTCCTGCGTAGAGGGATTTTGTGACCGGACCTTGTTTGACGTAACCCTGGGAGACCGAAGACATTTGACAGGCATCCAGCAGCGTTTGCCCCAACACCCGCTTGAAAGGGCAACCAAAAGCATGACGGGACAACAAAAAAGAAAAGCTCCAAAACCGGCAACAGAAACAACAAGAAGACAAAGCAGCAAAGGGACAAACCACAAACAATCAAAAAGAAAGATTAAATACAAATCAAAAACAAGGGGCCCGGAACCCCACTGAGCTGTGGCTCTTCCCCGTGTTCCGCCTTGGGGTCGCTGAAGGTCTTCTTCACCACGTGGATCAGCGGCACCGCCCAGGAGTCCCCGGCCGAGCTCAGCACGATGGCCAGGTCCAGGAGGTTCCAGGTCTAAACGGCAAGCCGATAGAGATGTCTCAAAATGAGAGCCCACATCGAAAGTGTTGGCTCCTTTTGATGTCCCTTTAAAACAATACAGTACAAGGTCCCCTCAAGGAAAGTTAAAGAACCCAAGAGTCCGCTTCTCTCTGTGGATTGGTTTGGCGGTTCGGTGGTTGGGCTAGCTGGTCATTGACATTCTGCTTTCACCTACCCATTGGTGGCTTGGTTTGGTGGTTTGGAAGTTGGGGGCGCCTTCCCCATTTGGCTTCAAAAGGAACTGGGGTTCATACCCCCAACCCAACAATCCAAACCACAGATGGCTGAAGCTAAGTTTCAGCTTCCCAACCGGGCTCACCATATTTCAAGTTACCCCCTTGTTGGTGTGGATTGGTGGTTTGGTGGCGGTTCAAATCCAAATCAAAGCCACTACTCCAAACCACCAACCAAAGGTAACCCGACACATTTCCCCCAACACCACAAACAAGAGTCACAGAAGGCAACTCACTTGGTACTGTTTCAAGCCACCGGCACGGGAAATGCACGGACGCCTGTCTAAGTTTCAGGTTTGCTCAAGAACTAGAGTCGTTCAAATCCCCAAAGCGCCAGTCCAAATCACAACAACTGGCCTTTTCAGAACGTCGGTAGTACCAAAGTGGGTTCAAAATCGAAGTGCTCGAACACTTGGAATAGGGCATAAGAGAATGATGCAATCGTGCTGCCCCTTATGTTATGTTGCTCGCGCGCAAGATTGGGTGGGAGAGAAAGCCATCAAATGCTGCACCCCTCGGAGGCAATTAAAGCCGTTCGCAGAACCTTGCTCCATTCACACGGTCCCGGCTCCCTCTTCATCTGTTCCCTCGTCAACATCACCCCACCTGAAAGAGGGATCCCTTTAGATTGACCCAATGATGTCTAAACTAACCACCAGCAAACATTGGCAGCCCTGAAGAAACAATCAGGTGCTGGACCCCCTCAAGGGGCAACCCACACGGTTCAACAGCTGCTAGATCGTGCAGCCTCCACTCCACCTGGATCCACTTCTGGCATCGAAACCCCTCAGCCCCCCCTCCCGCCAGATCTGGTGACTCGCAGGAGAAGAAGTGGAGGCCTAAGCGCTTGAGGCGAACCATCAACTCGAAGACGTAGATGATGAGCAATACGTTCTCCTGGGTGTCCATTATGTTCGTTGTTTCTGGGGGTTATCAAAGTCAGAAAGCCTGTTGCTTCCCCTTAGCCTACGACTGGGGGGGTGACGTTACTCATGGCAAAATAGTGGGGCCAGTTCTCTTGTGCATAGGCGACCTTTTGGAAAAATCAAAAAATAAGGTCTAAACCACTGGCAACAAGTTCGAACCAAACTCATCTAAGAAGGGCACCTATGCTGGGTGAACGTCTTCACTGGGTCCGAGCCGGACCCTCTGGACATCATATGCCTTTGGCCTCCGAGAGGTGTGGCTCCGGGGTATGGAAGGCGAGACCCCAAACCAGCCGAGCCAAATCAGCCGAAGATGTCTCGGACCGCCCTACCCTTTGATTGGAAGATAGCCCAAGAGGTCCAAGGCTGCTGCTTTTGACATCTAGACTGGCAAGTGACTTCGGACAGCTAAGCCATGCGGATCTAGCTTCTTGGAAGCCAGACATGAAATACCCTCGACCTCCAAATCCGAAATCTGAGAGGTTAAAGGAGTTGTACAGCTGGAGGAGAGTTTGAACTCGAAGGATCAGTTCTAAGTTCTAAGTTGTGTTCGCCACTTTTAGATCCCCCCCACCCCGCCCCGAGTGGGCCGGACAGGCCAAGGCTCGATCACCAGCCAACCTCCCCAGTTGATGTCCGTCTCGCAGCCCATGAGCAGGGCATTCACCGCCTTCGCAGGTGCAAGAGGCAAGACGAGATGAAGCCGCCGAGTGGGCAAACGAGGCCTTGCCAAGTTAGACCTCTTGAGATACCAACGGAAGCTGCAAATGCACCCGCCTGTAAAACTGACAAGGAACTCAATCCATATCTTCAAAAAGAAGTGTCCGGCTGGCAACACAGATTGCCCGCTCACTCTCAAAACAAGCGCAGCATCAAAACCACGCAGGCTGCCGCACAATCTGCAGTTGCATGTCCGCAATACCAAGATGATCCCAATGCATTGCCTGGAAAAACACATCATACCGAAACACAAGCCAACCACTCCGAATTTTCGCCGGCACCGAGGCATCGCCGGCATCTCCCTAGGGCCCAAGCAATCACTCCGCCGATGAAGGACTGGAACGCCGGCCGCTCCGTCCAGGCAAGGTCCCACTCCTGCCGGTGCTCACCTGTGCACCTGCCTCACATCCCCGACAAAACGTGGCGTGGCACACAGACCCCTTTCTGAAAGCCACTGTTTGTCGGAAAGGCTTCCTTCCGTGGATGGTCAGGAAAAGGCATTTCATCGGTTGTGGGAAGACATGGCCCTCCGCGCGCCAAAGACTCGATGATTTGACCGGCCAAACCCAAGAAGCAAGATGGAAAAAATCGGTGCGCCTTAGGCAAACGCATTCACAGTTGACACAGGAGCAACCGACATGTCCACCCAACCAACCCACAACATCCGACTGGAAGCCCGTGAGCTCCTGGAACACAGGGACCAGTTCTACATTCCCGCCCACCGGGGGAAAAAAAAAAAGAGAAGAAAAACAACGTCCTCCCTGCCCCCCCCCCCAAAAAAAAAAAAAAAAGGAATCGGGTCCAGCACGAAGCCGATGACCTTTAGCACCCGCAGCAGGCGCAGCAGCTTCATGATGCTCAGGATCTTTACCATCTTCTTGGCCCAAGCCTCCGGCACCAGGTCCTGCGCTCCAAAACTGGGGACTGGGGGGAGCCTGGCTGAGCGGGGTGGGGTGTGGGCTAAAACATAGGGATCAACCAGGTCTGGGAGGGCCACCTTGCATCACCTTGAAAGTGGCCTTTCAACGGTGCCAGAGGAAAAGAAAGCAAAAGCTTGGATTGGCATGTGTAACAAATCAAAGGTCTTCCTTTCCAGAAAGGTGGATGGCCCAAAAGCACCGGACTAATCTACCAGACCCACTGGCTACGTGTCTGATTGGAGGCATCGTGACATAGGTTGTATTCCCCATCAACCTGCATAGCCAACTTTATTTGGAAGAAGGATAAATCCGAAGTTGGTATTCTGAGGCATTCGAATGAATCCTCACCGCGAGTCTGAGGGCTCGCTTTACAAACACGACCCCACAGCAGCCCAAAGCAAATGATCCAAGCACATCGATTGCTGCAAGCCGCGCCAAACCAACCCCACGCCTCCCCGCGTGCCTGAACATAAGATAAGGCCCACTGATCTATGACCCCCGCACCCACGATCATCATGTCCAGCAGGCTCCAGAACACAAGGCGCCTGCCGGCGTACTCGAACAACTGCGCGGGAAAGCACGGCGAAAGATGCTGAGACTTGCTTGATCCCAAGAAATCAGGGCTCTGCCGCATAAACTGCCAGAAACTGATCGACCGGCTCAGGCGAGAACAAACCAACGCAGGAATGCCCCTCTGCGCGGACACTTGTGGACAGAGCTCCTCTGTTCTGAAAGGATGTATTTTGGTACCATGTACAGGCCTTGGCGACGAAAAAAATAAATGCCAGAGCAATGGTTGTTTCGGACCTTGACCACACCAAAATGGCCAGTTGCTTTAAGCCCGCTCTGGCTTAAGAACGTCGATGGGGTGCCGTGACACTGACCCTGCCTCTCCCAATTCACCACCCCAAACTGAACTCCCAAGGTTACCTTCCCAGAAAGGGGTCGTTGGTAGGAGGGTAAGAGCTCAGGCCTGCTGACCCATTTTGGCATCTTCGCCTCCAACTGGTCGGGCCAACGCCAAATTGGTCGGAGCGCTGATGGCAAGCCTCTTCCGGATGTACTTTTTGAGCTTGAGAAGGAAGGAATGCCCTTACAAAGGGTTGCACAAAGGAAGTTGGGCGCATGTTTGCCCGGGGCATCCCTGGGCCTGGCTGTTCGACTTAGCGGAAGCTCGCATCTCGCGCCTCGGACCGCAAAGGAACTTCCCCTTCCACAGGCAGATGCGGCACAGCAGCTCCAAGACGTAGAACAAGAGGCAGGCCTGAGGTGAAATTCCGCGGATCCGGAGAAATGGGTAGGTCTTTCAGGGTTCGAAACAAAAATCGCACCTTTGGAACGGCCACCAAAACCATCAAAGCATTGCCGGCGCACCTTGATCACCTTGTCAAACACGAAACCCGCCACCGCCAGGATTCGAGCCCCCACCCCACCCCACGCCTGCTCGAACCAGTAAAACTTCTCGGGGTTATCCGTGTCGGCCTCCATGACTATCGACACGGTGTTGGAACCGATGACCGTGGCCACGATCATGTGAAACCACCACCTGGACATGGTCACAAGATCCCCTCGGCCATGCAAAAATTCAGAGGCCTAGGCACGGAGGACAACAACTGGCCACTAAGGTGGCTCTCTCAAAGTTACTGGCCCAACGGCCCAACGGCCCAACGGCCCAACGGCCCAACGGTGGTCATAACTTCAAGGGCTTTGGCTGGGCCACATGTTGAGCCCGAGAAATGCTAATTCAGATCTAATCCAATTTTGGACCCAAAAACCCTTAAGTGCTCAATTGGTTTACTGATGAGTTTGGGTTGCACCCCTGATGGTGAATGGGAATGCACCTGGCATCCAAAGCTCTGGGCA